GGAGGGGGAGGAGGAGAAGGAGGAGGGGGGCGAGGAGGGACGGAAGCAAGGAGGAGCAGGAGGAGGAGGAGGATGCGGCTAGTCTGGGGGGAGGAAGAAGGGAGAAGCAAGGAGGAGGGGGGGAGGAGGGGATGGAGGGAATGGAGGGAGGAGCAGGAGGAGGGAGAGGGAGGAGGAGGAAGAGGAGGAAGTGGAGGAGGAGGAGGAGGAGGAGGAGGAGGAGATGCTGCAGACGGCGACGGGGAGGACACGACGACGACAACGACGACAACGAGGCAAGCCGTGCGCCAGCCGCTGGGGGGAATAGAAAATGACCGGCACCCCCACGCCCTAGGCCTCTCCGGGAGGCGCGTCCCGACCAGGGACTTCAGGGAGAGTTCAGGGCTCCAGGACGCGCGTTCTGCGGCAACTCATGATGGCCTCACATACCAGCTTGTTGGCTCTTGCGTACCGGCGCAAATCTACGCAGGTCCACGCTGATCGACGCTAAATCGAGGCTAATCGGCGCTGGTCGACGCTTAGTCGACGCTAAATCGGTGCTAAATCGGCGCTATCTCGTCGATCACCAGACGCAAATCGACGCTAGTACTATTTGAAAGCAGGTTTTTGAAGGTGTGCAAGGCTACCATGATTTGCTAGCGGCGGTGTCGGCATGTCTTCCTCCTTTGACGAGAACAACTGTCGTGTTGGGAGGGCGGGGTTGGGAGGAGGAAGGGCATGAGCAACAGCATCCGGATGCAATGAACGATGCCTTCGGCCGACTACGGGAAAAGAAGTCCTCATTTCTCCCAGCCCCATCCTCCCAACCCGACACGTGCCTTCCTGATCCTCCGAGCCTCCCGCAAAAACAGAAACTCGCGCGAGCGCGCCCGCTGGCGGGGCTCATATGAAGTGGGCCTTGCCCTGCCGCTGCGGCAGCAGCGAGCCGGAGGCCTTCGAGCCGGCGGACCGCCCAAAGGCGGCCGCGAAGCCCGCCGCGACGAGCAGGAGCAGGGCCACGGCGCCCGCCAGGGGGCGCACCTCGGGAGGAGTACGAGACTCAAGAAACAGAGACTTTCGCCCTCCTCACTCCATCAATTATCCTGCCTCCTTTTTCTCCTCCTCCTCCTCCTCCTCCTCCTCCTTCTCCCTCTAACCCTCTTCATCGTCCTCATCCGTCTTCACCCCCTCCCTCCCCGCTCGTCGCCGTCGTCCTCCTCCGCCTCCTCTTCCTGAAGAAAGGCATGATTCCCGAGATGTCCCACAGATGTGCGATGCGGTTGCTCGCCCACTCCTCCTTCGCATCCTCTTCCTCTCCCTCTTCCTCCTCCTCCTCCTCCTCCTCCTCCTCCTCCTCCTCATCCTCTCCGTAGCCATTTTGGCTCAACTGCTGGCTCTGTGCATTCTGCCCGGTATCGTATCCTCCTTCGTACAGGTGGCGACGGTCAATCCTGGCTACTCCGTGGCAAGCTTGGCGTGCGCCCATCCGAGTGCAGCACACCTCTTGGCGGCGGCGCCTGCTCGTCGCCGTCGTCCTCCTCCGCCTCCTCTTCCTGAAGAAAGGCATGATTCCCGAGATGTCCCACAGATGTGCGATGCGGTTGCTCGCCCACTCCTCCTTCGCATCCTCTTCCTCTCCCTCTTCCTCCTCCTCCTCCTCCTCCTCCTCCTCCTCCTCCTCATCCTCTCCGTAGCCATTTTGGCTCAACTGCTGGCTCTGTGCATTCTGCCCGGTATCGTATCCTCCTTCGTACAGGTGGCGACGGTCAATCCTGGCTACTCCGTGGCAAGCTTGGCGTGCGCCCATCCGAGTGCAGCACACCTCTTGGCGGCGGCGCCTGGCGCTCCGTGGGCGGCCCCCCCCGCCAGGTCGCTGCGGCGATGGTGGCGGCCGCAGCTCGTGCCTGCCTCAGCGGCTCTCCCGACGCCGTCCACGGGGAGGTCAAGGCCAGGCTGGCCATGGCGGAGCCAGCCTGCACCGAGGCGGTCAAGGCAGGCCCTGTCGGATACCCTGCCCTCAGTGGTGGCATGGAGGCCATGCGCAGTGCGGGCCTGCGCGTGGGCCTGGGCTGCGGCGCGGACGGCCTCCCGCAGAGCGGCAAGGGGGCCAAGCGGAGGCAGCGCAGCGGCCGCAAGGCCAAGGAGAAGGCCGTCCTGAGGCTGACGGAGGAGACTTTTGCGAGTGCGAGGAGGGGCACTCCAACGAGTCGTGGAATACCTCCGTGGCCGACCCGCAGGGCAAACCTGCAGCTGGGCGCCGAGGGCGCAGGGCTGAAGCAGGTCGAGGGCGAGGCAGTCGAGGAGGATGCCTGCCTGGAGCTCGAGGTCAGCGGCGTCTCCGCGAAGGCCCTGGTGTGGGAGGTGCCCGAGGAGGCCGACGCGCAGGCCGAACGCGGCAACACCACGCAGGGGAACACGGACGTGACCGAGAGGAGATCGCCTCGCTGCAGCCGGCGGTGGTTCCCGACGGCATGGCCGAAGACAGGGCCGAGGCGATCGCCTCGATGTCGCAGCAGCTGGTGGCGGCCCGCGGCCAGCTCCACGAGTGTTGGTGCTCCAGGGCGCTCGGCAGCCCAGGCACGTGCTCCTCGAGGCGGTCGGAAAGGAGTGCCACCTCGGGAAGCTCCTAGAGCGGCTGCAGGAGTAGTCGGCGGTTCGGTTCTCGGCTGGACCAGGCGGTGGGGGCCCGCTATTCCCCTAGCATCGGCGGCTTCGGCACCTCGTCGGTGCGCGAGTTCGTGTAGCTAGCGCGAGGGGTGCCGAGGCTGCGTGGATTCGAGCTCGGGGTGCGGAGGCTCGTCCTCCTCCTACACCCAACCTGCTCTCCGCTCGGCGTCGCGGAGGCTCATTTCCTCCTGCGGCCGAGGCGCCAGGCGAATCCGCTCGGGATGCGAAGGCTCGTGTCCCTCCTGCGTCCCGCATGCTGCTCGGTGGCGCGGAGGCTCGTGCTCCTCCTGCGACTCGAACAACGCCGCCCTGGTGGTGCGTAGGCTCGTGCTCCTCCAGCACCGCTAGGGGCTCGCGTGCACGGGACAGGGTCCCGATTGCTCACCCCCTGGTCACTCCTCCTCCTTCTCCTCCTCCTCCTCCTCCTCCTCCTCCTTTGTCCTCTCCTCCTTCTCCTCCTCCTCCTCCTCATGCTCCTCCTCCTCCTCCCTCCCTCCTCCTCCTCTCTACTCCTTGGGGGTCTAGAAACGGTGCGATGGCAAGGAGCGCGGTGACCTCGAAATCCCCACAGACCTCACCGCGCTGTCCGTCACCGCACGGTTTTGCTCGGGAGGCCACTGTCACCCGAGAGGCCCTCGGAGAACAACTCGAGTCCCAAAACCGTGCGGTGACACCGACTCCCCACTGACTCGCCACACGGTGTTGCCACCAAACCTGCTGTTGCCAGTCTGCAACATACCCCTGCCCCCACGATTGGCACCACCGTTTCCCGATGCCGACCTCAGAGATTCCTTCAATGTCTGATGGGGATCAGCTCGAGGCGTGTTATTTTGGAGGGCCCCCCCGTACCCAGAGGAAAGAAGCGACGTCACGAGCAGAAACACGCAAGGAGGTCCGCGCGGATTTCTGATGGGTTGGCGGCTGGACCCGATTGCGCCAGGGAGGGCCTCTTCCTCCTCCTCCTCCTCCTCCCCCTCATCCGCCTCCTCCTCTTCTCCTCCTCCTCCTCCTCCTCCGCCTCCACCCCTCCCTCCTCCTCCTCCTCCTCCTCCTCCTCCTCTCCTCCCTTCCCTCCTCTCCCTCTTCCTCTCCTCCTCCTCCTCCTCCTCCTCTTCCTCCTACTCCTCCCCTCCTCCTCCTCCTCTTCCTCCTCCTCCTCCTCCTCGTTCCCGCCTCATCCCTCTCCTCCTCCTCCTCCTCCTCCTCCCCCTCTCCTCCCCTCCTCCTCGTCTCCGCCTCCTGCTCATTCCTCCTCCTCTCCTCATCCTCCTCCTCCTGTTCCTCCATCCTCCCTCCCACCTCCTCCCCCCTCCCCCTCCTCCTCCTCCTCCTCCTCCTCCTCCTCCTCCTCTCTTTCCTCCTCCTCCAATCATCACATCCTCCGTCTTCTTCTCCTCCTCCTTCCTCCTCCGGACTTTCCTCCCCCTCCCCCTTTCCGTTCCCCCCCCAGTCATTCTCCTGCTTCGTCGTCCTCCTATCCTGGTTCCTCTCCTCCTCCCTTCCTCCTCCCCTCCTGACGGTCCTCCTCCTCCTCCTTCATCATCCTCCTCCTGCCCTCCCGTCCTACTCCTACTGCTGCTGACTACTCCTCCTCCTCTTTTCCTCCTCCTCCCTCTCCCCTCCTCCATCATCCTCCCTCCTCCTCTCCTACATCTCCTACTTCCTCTCCCTCATCTCATCTCCTCCCCATCCCTCCTCCTCCCCTCCCCTCCTCCTCTCACCTACCCTCCCACCCCCCCCCCCTCCTCCTCCTCCTCCTCTCCGCCTCCTCCTCTCCTTCCTCCTCCTCTTCCTCCTCCTCCTCCTCCTCCTCCTCCTCCTCCTCCTCGGAATCGGAATCGGGTCTCAAGGCATGTGACACGGCTGCCTATCTAAGCACAAACAGGACAAGGAAGAGAGGAGAAAAGTCATTCCCAAGTCCACACCCGGTCAGGCGCCCCCCCAAGCCTCCAACGTGGGGCTGCAGACGAACGGGACAAGGGGTTCTGGGAGAGTAGATTGGACGCGCGGGAGGTGCGAAAGAAGTAGGGCACCTGTGTTCATGCTCCTTCCCTGGCACTCAAGCCCGCAGAACAGCCCCTGCAGGGAGGCGGCCGATCCAATGCTAGAATCGGGTCGTGCAACACGCTCAAACGCGTGCATGCTCAATGGCGAGACTATATTGGGAACGCATGTCTCAAGAACGAAGGGCGTGCCTTGAACAGCGGCAGCAGCGTGAAGCATCCCTCCCTGAACGATCGCATCATTCCCTTCCTTGACGATCTGAGCCTCCACAGTGGATAGATCCCTCCTTCCCCACGGAAGAGCACCAGAACGGAGGGCCCTCACGTGGCCCCGCGGGCGAGCAGAACCCAACAGGTACGGGTCCACCCAAGAGGGCCCACTGCAAACCCAAATCAAGGCAACAGATCCAGCCATGACGAGAGGAACTCCGACCAACTCGATTTGACACGGAGGCAGACAGAGGACATGGTATCCACGCAATGTGGCAATATTTTGAACTTGTGACACAGAGCCACTCTTCCCAATGACGATGATACAATCAGCAGCATCAAAGGGCAAACACGGAATGTCAAGACTGCAAGCGCTCACTTTGGCGCGCGTCTCCAGAAGCACCGTGGGATATTCCACCTGATGTCCACGAGAGTCCCCTCTTAAACGAATAGTAGGCACCGAGACACGCACCACGGGTTCACGGGCAAAGTTCTCTGGCAGCCCACGCTTCCTATTCTGAACCTGTATCTCGAGAGCGAGTTGCCTCCACCCAGGGACTTCAGGATAGGGAGAAACAGGAAGGGAGAGACGCCACCGACGACGACACACCTGCGCACGATGTATGTGAGCGACCAGCCTATTGGGTTGATGAAAATCTTTCAAACACACCTGGCAAACATGCCCGTACACCCAGCTCCCGACCGTGTCGTCCTGTTTGTGAACCCTGTTTAGATGCATGGTCATGGTCCTACGCTGCTCGGACACGAAGCCACACTCGTAGCACATGACATGTGGTATCGGATGGGAGTCGGCCTCTTCGGTGGACCAAGTCAAAACAGAACCATCGAGAACAGTCTGGCATATCTTGGTACTGCGACATAGCCTACCCTCATGCTTCTGCCAAAAAAGAGCATGTGAGGCAACATTGCGTATGTGCGTCTTGAACCCTCGCGGGTTACTCCTGCAGGCGCCGATCCAACATGTTAAGGATCCCCTTCCTGGCACCTCACTTTTCTTACGGAACCCGCTCATCCAAACGCAACCACCAGTTAAAAGCATCGGCCACCCCTGCATCCTATCATACAGGAAGTCGAGGGCTCTCAGTAGCCCCACGGGCGCCTTCTGCAGTAGCCTGGGCAGATACTTAAGCCTAGCAACACGAAGAACGGTGCTGACATCGAGCCTATCAGCCATGACTAAAACGTCGCTGTTAGACACGTGGAGCCCTCCATGGTTTCCCAACGACATCCCAAGAGCGCCCCTGCAGAGAGACACCCGAGCGTTCCGAGGCGTCTTCAGAGCACGACACGACAACGACGACCAACCACCGACGTTGAAGTACAAGGGGGAGAGGGCGAAAGCTTCGGCATACTGGATCCGTTTGCACACTGGTATGCCATCACGACCCACAAGGGCCCGCTGGATGGCCCTGGTTTCACCCCTGGTCCGAGCGGTCCGACTAGCGACCACAGAGTCAAACGACCCTTTGTCCTTTACCAGAGTCCCAAGGCACTTGATAGTTCTTTTGATGGCGACTTCCTCTCCCGAGGGAAGGGCAAATGTGGCCCCCCTTTTCCACGTGACCTTCTCGACGGCACGGGCTCCATGACCAGCGGGCCTCAAAAGGAAAAAGGTCTTGCCAACGTTGAGTCGAAGGCCAGCCTCATAAACCACGCGCTCAACAATGACCGCAGCCGCGGCAGCCCATTCCTGTAGCAGCGCGGGGGTAGGAGAGGAGCCTGCCAGGGTTAAATCATCAACAAAGGCGCCCATGTCCTGCTGGGTGTCATCGCCACCTTCTCTCGCGAAGACACGAAGCGTCTCCGCAGGAGGGGCCCAACCCAACTCAGCCTCAGAGAACAACTGTTGAATTTTGACGATGAGAGGCGCGAATCCGAGATTAAACACATCGGTGGCGAGAACAGTGCCTGTTTTACACCCGAGCATAGGACGAACATAGCCATCCGCGCCCCTCACCCGCCAGAAGCCGTGAGTCTGCGTCTCAACAAACAAACGATAAAGATGATCATCGCTGAGCAGCGAGTCCACGGCAGGGGAGGAGGCAATATTGCGCACCGCATAGGCAAGAGCAGGATGCACGGGTAAGGATGCAAAGGCCTTTTGGAAGTCTTCTTCTTCAAACGGGAGCCTCAGAATGGCCTGCCGTAAGACTGTGTAAAAGGCAGCCTTGAGGGCGATGCTCAAGACAAAGGCCGAAGCATTGTCCACATATTGGGCGAGCAGGCGACTAGTTACGAAGTGTGTGACGAAGTCAGTACTCCTCCCTGCAAGCCCCCCGCACTGGCAGTCTTGTAGTCCTCCTGCAATGACAGCGTTAAGGAGCCCCTTGAGAAACCGATGATGTAGTTTTCCCACATTGTTGCCTAGCAAGATGCTCCTCCTGTTGGCCGCAAAAGCCGCGCAAGCATCTCCTTTGCTGATGTAAATCACTTCTCCTTCCTTGAAAACTATGGGCCCCTTTTCACCCACACCAACTTTTAACAGCACTGGGTGAAGGATGCGAGCGCATCCAGCGGGGGCTTGTGTTAAGAACTTCGCATGAAGCCCCTCCACGGCCCGCGGCACTACCCGACGGGACGGAAGCAATGAGGCGCTGGAGGTCAGAGCGGGAGATGAGGTGTTCGAGGAAGCGTGGGGTGTGGGCATCAAGCGTTTGCCCGTCCTCGTACGTGGTGACAACATCTTGAGCTGTCATGGGAATGCCAAATTCAACAGAGCCGAAGTGGGCCTGAAAATCATTGGCCGCATCTCTGGCCGTCTCGAGAGCACACCCATCGGCGCTTTTTCGAAGGGGGAAAAGGGCAGCCGTCTTGGGTTTCTTCCCCCCTAGTGTTAGCAAAGTGCGAACCCGTTTCCATTCCAGCCGTGGCAACGAGCCGTCGATGGCAGCACGAATGCCTGCTCCCTGTTGAACAAGGAAATGATCATAGTCTTCCCCCACCCTGTGCCGTTGGATGTCTGAACTGACACGCGTAAAACTGGCCAGTGCTATGCTGAAGCCGCTGGCCTCAATTCTTTTCCACGTAAAGTCCTGCGCAGCGGTGTGAAGCAACAGCCATGGCCCGAGGAGAGCCCTAGCCAGCTCCGTGTCCTCGTGCTGAAGAATAGCACCGGCATGCTCGAGGAGGTCCCCTGAGCGAATGCGCTGCGCAATGGAAAAGAGACGTGCGACCAGGGCGAGAAGACCTTTCACCCTAACTAGGTAGAGAACTTCACGGATCGGTCGGCGAATCCGAACGAGGGCGAAAAGCGAGTCCGAGAGGTAAAGACGGCGTGCACGTAAGCGATCACGACGAAAACACCGTGAGGCTTGCTCGTTAATGAACTCGAGTGAGCGGGAAAGCTGATCATTGGTGTCAGTCTCCCATGGGTCTAGCACAAACCCGTCTATGGCGAACTGGAATTCCTTGATACACTGCGGGTCGGCTAACTTGCGCCGATCAAGAGGAGCGGATCCAGCTTTGGCAACGGAGGCGACCACACCCCACTCCAAAACACCCAAAACAGGAAAGTGGTCTTCGTGTTTCCTCATAAGCTCCATGTCGTGAAGCACCTTGGTGTGTACTAGATGCTGGCCGGGTGTGCTATCTAGGAGAATGTAATCAATCCTGCAGGGTCCTGTGCCCTTGGACTTGAAGGTGGCTCCATGTCCCCTCACCATTAATGTGTTGGCAGCCTGGAGCTCATGCTCGTGGAGAAAAGTGCGCATGAGCTCACCACTTTCATCATGTTCTTCAACGAAACCTGCGTCTCCCACAAAGGGAGAAGTTATTGACCCGAGTGCACAGTTGGCGTCCAGGAGGGTGAGTCCAAAAGGCCACTTTCCTGCAAGGCGCCCGAGATGCTCCCAAAACTCGACGCGAGCAGCAAGAGGGTGCCTTCGATGCGGGGCGTGTGCCACGCAGATGTTGCACATGACACCTGGGGCACTGCATTTGACTACCAGCACGCGCGGCTCGGCGTGCAAGACTAAAAAGTGGTGAGCAGCGAAGAAGGCGTCCCTTCCCTGGATCTTACCGTAGGGAACGCACATATCAACCCAGAGCTCCGTGCCCAGGTTGCGCCCCTCGTGGCCTGAAGAGAACCTAAGGTGTACCTTTCCTGCAACCCCTTTCAGCTGCTGTTCATTGCGTGACTCCTGTATCCCAACTAGGGCCACTCCCATGTCGTGAAACTGCTCCTTCACTAGATTGATACGATGAAACCGCTGTTGACCTTTTTTTCCCCCTGCGATGCACATCGCGCACACTTTGAGGATTGAAAGTGGCGACCCGAAGTTGAACTTGCATTTTGAAATCGTGCTCTGGGGGCTTAGACTGCCACCTAGACAAGGTAGCCTGGTCAACACGAAATTGCGGGGGTGCACCTCGCAACGTGGCCCCATCGCCCGCCCAGCCTATCTCAGGGTAGGCATAGGCGTCAGGGCCCCGTGCAAGCATCCACTCCCGCTGGCGGGACTTCTGGCACTGAAATGCCCCAACGAGGTGTCGAGGTGGCTCCGGGGGGGCACAAAGTTTACCAGGCGCGGTGGCCTTGGCGATGTTATCAGCAAGCGCGTTCCAAATGTGTCCCCTGTGATCTTTAACATGCCTAATGTCGAAATGTGCCTCCCCCTGAGCATATTCAAGCACTGCACGCAGGAAATCACCCACTGCTCTGTCGGCCAAAGGTACCTTCCCTCCCTGTGTGGCCCCAATAGCGAGCAATGAATCCGATGAGATGCTGACGCGGCACTTCGGCCGATTGCCGACAATCCAAAACAACGCATACGTTAAAGCGACCACCTCAGTTGTGGTACTCGTGCTGGCGCACGGCTGGAGTCGCATGCTAGTGGCGCTAGTGATGTCACCGCGCAGTGCTCCGAGAAATGACTCTCCTTCCCCATCCCCCCTATGACTGCCACTGCCCATGCTCCCTTCCCCTCCCCTTTAGTGAAGAGCGAGCCGTCGGTACACAGGCGGGTGTAGTGCCACGCGCCGTCTCTCGGCGGACAAAGCGTCAGGCCCAGCCTGGCTTCATCTTCGAGGACTCCCGTCGCCTCGAGTTGTGCAAGTGCGAGCTGCTCAAGAGCAAGCGCCTCGTCCTGCCGAAGAGCCTCCCTGAGTGGCGGAAGAATAGGACAAGAACAAAGCACAGGCATGGAGGCTGAGACCAGAGAACGCGCAGCCAGATCCCCTTGATTGGATGTTCCCAAGTCTGCAGCCCTGACCGATTGGGGGGGGGCGCCGTCGGGGTGGGGTCGTCAACCAGGTCCGACGAAGAGGGGGTGGGGTCATGCACAGATGGCGTCCGCGAGGTACCTGGCGTGGGCTCTGTGGCCTCAGCAGCTGGGCGCCCCTCGCCCGCTCGGGGGCTTCCTTGTCCATGAATTCTGTGAGAACTATCCCTGTCTCGCTGATTAGACGAGGCTGAAAGCACGCCTGCAGAAATTATACTGGTCTCCTGCCGCTCAGACGTGGATTGCCCGACGTGAGCACTACGGGGGGAGCAAGCGGATGACTGCATGCATGAGGGCGGAGGAAGATGAGAAAAACGCTGGTGCAGCCGCGCATCGAGAGTGGCGACCGAAATTTGCTCCGCAGGGGCGAATGATACCCGTCTCGCCGCGCGGATCATTGTATTCGACTGGGGCACTAGAGCTGCCGACTGCCTCAGAGCCCCTTCATGCTCGGCAGCATGTTGGACTTGTGTGGCGGCGTGTCCCCGGAGCCGCCCTCTGACGCACGCGCCCCCGTCTTGGCCTTGCCGTGGGTCCCTCTGAACTCCTGGGCGTGCCCCGACGAGTCTTCCACGATGATGACCTGCTCCGTGATCGTCTGCGGCGGGCCAGGCAGGAAGACGTCCTCCTGCGCGTTGCTGACGGGCTGGGTGGGCGCGATCATTTGACTGGAAATGGGCTCGGTCTCTGGGGCAGCCCACATCTGTGTCGGCCCAGGAAAATCTTCTCCAGTAGCCATGGTGGGAACACGCTTCATCATCTGCTTCCTGAGCTGATCCGCGAAGGACTCCGTGCCAGGCGCCGGGTTGGCCGCATTGACGATGGCTGCCTCCACTTGCGATGCCGTTCTCGGCGTCGGAGGCCGGCTTGACGGACGTGACTTCGCAGGCGGAGTAATGGGCACCTCGATGCTGGCAGCAGATTTCGGCGGGGCCTCCATATGTGAAGGGCCAGCTGGACCAGGCGGGCGAGCTTCCCCTCCAGCTGTGCGAAACCCCGAACTGGATGGACGTGATTCGCCCGACACGATGGCTGCCATGATGTTCTGGAACTGGACGAATGACTGCTCCATCTGATCTTGGCGAGACATCATGGCCTGGATCGCTGTGGCGATGGTAAGCTGCTGCTGCGGGTCGCATTGATGGGTGGAGCACCACCAGGTGGGTATTTGGGCGCGGGCGGCCCTGTAGGTGCGTGTGCTGGCACATCCCAACCAACACGTCCACCATATGGGTCCCTCGAGGCTTCTCTTCCTGGCGGAGGCGGCGGTGACGGTCTCTTCGTCATAGGGCCGTCCGCGAAGCCTCCTTCCTGGACATCCATCTGCGCCTGTCGCATCGAGACTCGTTGTGGCCCATGAGATTGTACAAGCTCTTCTTCTTGTAGTTGCTGTTCCAGGTCCTGTTCCATCGACCTGGCGTCCTGGACCTGGTCCTCGAGCTCGATCTCTTTCATTTCTAGCTCCTTCCTCTTGTTGATGGTGTCCCTGAGTGTCTGCTCTAACTTGTTCTTGCGGTACCGAGCATCTGCAAGCTGGTCCCCCAGGGGCTTGAGGACCGATAGGCAATACTCTAGCATCGAGATTTCGTCGTGCTCTGAGAGATCTGACTTGTTGGCCAACTTCGCAGCAACGGCAAGCTTCGCCAGGGTGAACTGCCGCTCCTTGACCCTCTTCTTGTACGCGCTGATCTGTGAGCTGTCGTTGGGAGGCTTCCACTTGTCCCAATCGCAGTGGGCCTCGGCCAGAAGCATGGAGGCAGGCACCACTTTGCTGATATATTGCTGCGCAGCTCTGTCGTGCGCGGCAATCTGACGGTGGGTCGAGGAGCTTCGCTGGCGTCGTCTCTGCTGATATGGCTTGCCACAGGAACAGAACCAACGCCATGGATTCACATGTTTTCTGCACTGACATACCCATTTTTGCTGATCCGACCTCGCTGCCATGCGTCCAGACAGTGTTCTGGGGCTGGCGTGGTGTCGGTCTAAGCACTGTGCGGCCTTGTGCAGACACAAGAGAACCCTGGACTGTCCCCGTCGTGCCCTCTGTCTGCGGTGCCAGGCTGGCTCCTTGAGTATTTTCGTGATGTCGAGTGAGGGCTGAAGACAAAATTGGTAGCGGCCCGTGGGGGCAGCGCAAAGGGTCGGCACGGTAACGGGAATGTGACCACCTGAGGTCGTCCAACCGCCTTCGGCCACAACCCTCTCCTCCTCCTCCTCCTCCTCCTCCTCCTCCCCCTCCTCCCCCTCCTCCTCGAGAACGGGGGGTTGTCGAGTCGCAGGTGTTCAAAATCGCGCGCGCGAGGCTTTCGCGCTGAGTTCGCGATTGCTTCTGTGCAAACTCTGCTCTGTGTCGGCCTCCCCCTCCTCCGCCTCCTCCTCCTTTTCCTCCTCCTTCTCCTCCTTCTCCTCCTCCTCACCCTCCTCTTCCTCCCTCTCCTCCTCCTCCTCACCCCTCTCTTTTTTTTCCTCCTGGTGTCGCCCCACCAAACATGTTTTTTTTTGTTGTTTTCTGGGGGGGGGGGGGTCGGTGGCGAAAAAAATAAATGCGACGTGGCCACATCTGCCCTCCCCCCTAGAAGGATTCCTAATGAACGCCCCCACAAGAAGGATTCGCATTGGAATCCTCGACAGAAGGGTTCCCATCGAAACCCTCCACTGAATGATTCCCACTGAAATCCTCGACATGTGGATTCCTACTGGAACCCTCCACTGAATGATTCCTACTCAAATCCTCGAACGGCAATGGCAATGGCAATGGCAATGGTAATGGTAATGACAATGGTAATGGCAATGGTACTGGTAATGGTAATGGTAACGGTAATGATAGTGGCAACGGGGTAGCGACTGGCATTGGCAATGACAATGGCAATGGCAACGGTAATGGTAATGGCAATGGCAATGGCAATGGCAATGGCAATGGTAATGACCATGTCAATGGTAATGGTAATGGTAATGGTAGTGGTAAAGGTAATGGTAATGAGTGGTAATGGTAATGGCACTGGTAATGGTAATGGTACTGGTGCTGGTAACGGTACTGGTAATGGCACTGGTTATGGGAATGGGAATGGGAGTGAGAGCGCAATGGCAGCGGTATTGGTAATGGTGATGGGAATGGGAGTTGTAATCGTAATGGCAGCGGTAATGGTAATGGTAATGGTGATGGTAATGGCAATGGTAATGGTAACGGCAATGGTAATGGTAGTGGCGAATGGCAATGGCAATGGTAATGGTAATGGCAATGGTAATGGTAAACTTACTGGTAATGGCAATGGTAACGGTAATGGTAACGAGGTAGCGGTTGGCAATGGCAATGAAAATGACACTGGCAACGGTCATGGTAATGGCAATGGGATTGGCAATGGCAATGGCAATGGCAATGGTAATGGCCATGGCAATGGCAACGGTAACGGTAATGGTAATGGTAATGGGAATGGGAATGGGAACGGGAATGGGAATATGAATGGGAATGGAAATGGAAACGGTAACGGGAATGGAAATGGTAGTGGTAGTGGTAGCGGAAGTGGGAATGATAAGGGTAAGGGTAACGGTAAAGGTAGACGTAAAGGTAATGGTAGTGGTAATGGTAATGGCAATGGAAATGGCAATGGTAATGGTATAGGGAATGGGAATGGGAATGGACATGGGACTGGCAATGGAAATGGTAGTGGCTAAGGTCAATGGCAATGACAATGCTAATGGTAATGGGAATGACAGAGGTAATGGTAATGGTACTGGTAATGGAAACAGTAATAGTAACAGGGTAGCGACTGGCATTGGCAATGGCAATGACAATGGCAACGGTAATGGTAATGGCACTGGCAATGGGATTGGCAATGGCAATGGCAATGGCAATGGTAATGGCCATGGTAATGGCAATGGTAATTGTAATGGTAATGTGCACGGGAATGGGAACGGGAATGGGAATGATAATGGGAATCGGAACGGGCATGGGAATGGAACTGATAGTGGTAGTGGTAACGGAAATGGGAATGGTAAGGGTACGGGTAAAGGTAAAAGTGAGATAAAGGTAATGGTAATGGTAATGGTAATGGCAGTGGCACTGGCAATGGTAATGGTAATGGTAATGGTATTGGGAAGGGGAATGGGAATGGGAATGATAATGGTACTGGCAATGGTAATGGTAGTGGCGAATGGCAATGGCAATGAAAATGGTAATGACAGTGGTAATGGTAATGGTACTGGGAATGATGATGGTGACGGTCACGGTAATGGTAATGGTAATGGCAATGGTACCGGGGTAGCGACTGGCAATGACAATGGCGATGGCGATGGCAACGGTAATGGTAGTGGCACTGGCAATGGCAATGGCAATGGGAATGGCAACGGCAATGGCAACGGCAACGAGAATGGCAATTGTAATGGCCATGGTAATGGTAATGGTAATGGTAATGGTAATGGGGATGGGAATCGTGATGGTAATTGGAACGGGGACGGGAATGGAAACGGTAGTGGTAGTGGTAAAGAATATGGCAATGGTAATGGTAATGGTAATGGTAATGGTACTGGTAACGGTACTGGTAATGGCAATGGTGATGGGAATGGGAATTGTAATGGTAATGGCAGCGGTAATGGGAATGGGAATGGGAATGGGAATGGGAATGGTAATGGTAATGGTAATGGTTTTTGTAATGCTAATGGTAATGGCAATGGACATGGTAGTGGCTAATGGTAATCGCAATGGCCTTGGCAATGGTAATGACAGTTGTAATGGTACTGGTAATGGTAATGGTAATGGTAATGGTACTGGTAATGGTAACGGGGTAGCGACTGGCAATGGCAATACAATGGCAATGGCAATGGCAACGGTAATGGCAATGGCAATGGGAATGACATTGGCAATGGCAATGGCAATGGCAATGGCAATGAGAATGGCCATTGTAATGGCCATGGCAATGGTAATGGTAATGGTAATTATAATGGGCATGGGAATGGGAATCGTGATGGTAACTGCCATGGTAATGGTAATGGTAATGGTAATGGCAATGGCAATGGTAAAAGTAAAGGTAAAGATAAAGATAAAGGTAATGGTAATGGTAATGGTAATGGGAATGGGGATGGGAATGGGAATGGCAATGATAGGTGTAGTTGTAACGGAAATGGGAATTATGAGAGGAAGGGTACAGGTAAAGGCAAAGGTAAAGGTAAAGGTAAAGGTAATGGTAATGGCAATGGCAATGGCAATGGTAATGGTAATGGTAATGCTAATGGTAATGGTAATGGTATTGGGAATGGCAATGGGAATGGCAATGGCAATTGTAATGGCCATGTAAAGGTAATGGTAATGATATTGGGAATGGGAATGGGAATGGGAATGGACTGGCAATGGCAATCGTACTGGTACTGGCAATGGCAATGGTAGTGGGAATGGGAATTGGAATGGTAAAGGTAATGGTAATGGTAGTGGTAGTTGTAGTGGTAGTGGCAATGGTAATGGTAATGGTAATGGAAATGGTAATGGTAATGGTAAGGGTAATGATGAGGAGCAACGCGAAAGATCGTGAAAACTCGTCTGGAACCCACAGCGACTCCACAAACCCCGGTCTCGAGAACCTCCTCCTCCTTCTCCTTCTCCTCCTCCTCCTCCTCCTCCACCCCCTCCTCCTCTTCCTCCTCCTCCTTCTCCTCCTCCTCCCCCTCCTCCTCCTCCTCCTCCTCCTCCTCCTCCTCCTCCTCCTTCTCGGGTCCCATTCCAATCCAAGAGACCCGCTTGAACCTCCGACCGTCTGTGCTTATGGGGGCATTGGATAAGGACACCTCCGACAAGGAATCCAGGGTCTGGAAGCTAGTGGAAGTCCACTCGAGGCCTGGCCATCGATATCACCGCCGCCTTCATCGGATAAGGAACCCTCCAGGGTCTGAAGCCTCCTGGGCACGTTCCTTAACTGACGCCCCCACCGTATTCTGCAACGTGTTGTTGTTCCATCTCTCTCTCTCTCTCTCTCTCCTGCCGTTCGCGCCTCCCAAGGAGCGCGGAGATCCATGGCGTACTCCGACCGGAGCTCCTCCTCCGAGCTCCACTGGGACATCCACTGCGCGTCCTCTTTCTGCACCTCCACGGGCATCTCGAGCTGGGCTTCGGCGTGCTTCCTCGGAGAGATTTCTTTGTTAAAAACGCACGGCGAGACCACACACTTTAGGAGCTCCGCGCGGATTTCTTGGATCGGCGCTGGGACCCCCTCGCTGGCGCGCGAAGCGCGCCAAGGGCGGCGACAGAGGCGCCGACAGGGGGTCCTCAGCGCCGTTAATAAGAAATCCGCTCGGAAATCCGAAAACGCATGTCTATACAATTTCTCGTCCTCGCCTTCCTCCGGTCGTGCTCACTCACGACGTAGTCGCCGAATTCGCTGGGAGCCTTCTGCGACGTGGCACCAGTCCTGTGCGGGAAGGGGCACTCGCGCGGGAAGGCGTAGTGCAGCCACTGCGCGAAGAGGCGCCCATGCAGCGGGACCTTCCTCCTCTTCCTTATCCCCCTCCACTTCCGCCTCCGCCACCACCCCCTCCTCCTCCTCCCCCTCCATCTCCACCTCGACGACATCCTCCTCCTCCTCCTCCTCTTTCTCCTCCTCCTCCTCCTTGTTCCCCAAAGCGCGGCCGGCGTTTCTATCATCCGTTTTGAAGATCTACGTGTTGTTCATATGTTCGGCCGCCGTCTATGGTCCCGAATAGCTCTCTGAGAGCTAAGAGGGCTTCAGATTCGAAGCTGGCACCACGAGGTAGACCTGGAGCTCTTTCCGGCGCCAAGAAGGGATCCCCGCAGCGGGTTGCCTGAAATCGCAGCGTGTTCCGGAAGCGTTCTCCAATTTCGTTCCCAATACATTTGCCGCAAGCCTTTCCGCAGCTCCTTCGAAGCTCTTCCTGGGCTCCTTCGCGAAGCTCTGTCGAAGCTCCCCTCTCGAGCTCGCAAGCTCCGAAGACATCCTTTCAAACGTCCTTGTATGCATCGTTTTCCATGAACTTTCACGCGCTTTGGTCTGCTCCGCTATCCGGGCTTTGGACGCCACAGAGTACGTGCTCCAGTCTGAGATCGTCCCGTGGCCCACCTGCCCGTGTTTTTGAGTTTTGTGTGGAATCCGGTTCATTGCGTTTCCTGGCTTTCCCTTCCGCCTCCGGTTCATTGCATTTGGTTCCTTGCATCTGGCTTCTGCTCTCACTGCATCCGCTTCCCGTGTATTGCTTTCCGTTTTCATTGCGTTTCTGGTGTACCTGATTGTGCCCCAGCTGGTGCCTGCACTCGGGGGCTCCTGCTCCTCTTTCAGGGAGCTGAGCCCGTCCGCAGCCCCGGCGGCCTCGGCTTCGCCCGCGGCCGCCGCCCCGTTGGTTGCACCTCCCGCGTGGCGTTGCATTCGCATCTCGTTGCAAGCGCATTGCATCGCAATTGCTTTGCACTGCGTTGCACTGCGTTGCGTTGCTTTGCGTTGCTCTGCTTCGTTGTTCACTGCTTTGCGGCGCGGTGCATGGATGAGCATTACCCTGCAATGCTTCGCGTTGCTCAGCATCGCTTGTCACCGCTTTGCGTTGCTCTGCGCTACTTTGCGTGGCTTTGTTTCGATTCGCCTTGCTTTGCATTGCTGTGCATTGCTCTGCGTTGCTTTGTAGTGCAATGCATTGCGTTGCGTTGCACCGTATTGCATTGCATTGCATTGATTTGGATTGCTTTGGATTGCTTTGGGTTGCTTTGCATTGCCTTGCATTGCTGCGTAGTGCATTGCATTGCTTTGCGTTGCTGTGGGTTGCTCTGCATCGCTTTGCATCGCTTTGCGTTGCTGTGCACTGCTTGGGATTGTTGCGCAGTGCTTTGCACCGCACAGGTTGCACCACCTGAGTTGCACCACCTGGCTTGCACCACCGAGATTCGGCGAGCGCGTCCCACTACTCGCAAACGTGACTACTCGCAAATGGCCTGGATCCGCCGCGGGGGATCTGCGAACAACTACATCGAAGCAGGCGTGTCAATGTGTGCTTTCGGACGTCTGCGACCAGGCACTCTGCGGGCAGCGGAACGCGACCGGTGATAGACTGCACCGCGAAGCTCGCAAGAAACCACTGTCTCGGGGCCCTCGCTGGCCCACACGGGCCGCCTGTCTGATGCCCACTTGCCCGGGGTGCCGTGCTCAACACGCTTTGGCCGAGCTACGGGCGCTAGGTCGGGCATGTCCTCCGACAGGCGAATTTTGGACGAAACTTGAAAAAACAGGCAAGACATGCTCAAACACTGCCCAAACATCATGGACAAGTCGCCCCCAGACTATTAGCTGACGACTTTTGAATACTCGTCCTGCAGAGGGACAGGCCCGAATCAACACTGGCGAGAAGATGAAAACAGGGGGGAGGGGAACAAACGTCTCCGGCGCACTTACAAAGCCCACCAGCAGAACCTTGCCCCCGTGCGCGGAGGCGATCTGGTCGAGCTGCCGCGAGAGCGACCCCTTGAGCTTCGGGGGCTCCTCGTCGTCCAGGGAGGTCTGGGACGACATGTTCCCGACGAGCGCCAGGATCTCGGCCGGGGGCGCCACGGCCGCGCTGATTCGGGCCTCCAGCTCCCCGAGGATGCCCTCGCAGGAGTCCGCGCAGCACACGAGGTAGTGCGGCGTGGCCACGATGCAGTTCGACGCGGCCCCGATGTAGTTCGGGATGATCACCTCCTTTTGGCGGCGCGCAAAGGGAGGTAAGGGGAGTGGGGAAGGCTTCTTAGAAATAGGCCGCTTCTTAGAAGGCGCCGGCCTTACATCTACAGACAAGGCCCGCGCCGCCTAAGAGGCAGGAGTGCCTCTAAGAGGCCTTCCCCCCTCCCCTCCCCCCCTGTGCGCGTGGCTGATCCTTGCCGTGCCACCGGGAGGTCTCGTCCAGCGCGCCCAGCTCGCGCAGGTAGTCCTCGGACTCCGCGAAGCGCCACTCCGCGCTCAGCCTCCGGGAGTAGAAGCGGCTCAGGGGCACGCGGCCCGTGTGGTGCTGGTCCATGGCGACGAGCTTGTCCCTCATGTCGGAGCACTCGTCGTCCCAGAACGAGGCGAAGGAGGAGGTGATCCGCCCCACCACCTCCTGGGCGTCGCCGAAGGAGTACCCGGACAGCATCGTCCCCGCCCCGGTGCGGCCCCGCTCGAAGTCGAACGCCCGAATCTCTCCCAGTTGCAGCCCCGTGATTTCGGACCAACGCGGGAAGGCCTGGTCTCGGAGGCGGCCGGGGGATCTGAACTCGCTGGGACCTGGAGAAAATCGGTCGAGAGGGGGGGGGGTGCGACCAAATCCGCTGAAAATCGGTCCTGAGAAAATCGGTCGAGAGGGGGGGGGGGGATGCGGCCAAATCCGCTGAAAATCTGTCCCCAGACCCCTGCCAGGGCCCGTACGGTGCAGCTCTTCGCCAGTCCCGGGGCCCGAAAACGGCCCCCCCAAAGGCCGAACACAAGGGCTCCCAACTTCGCGCTTCGCGCTGCGCGAAACACGAAGTGCGAATCACTTCGCGCTCTCGTGCCGCCTCCCAGGGGAGAAAGGGAGGATGAGGAATCGGAGCCGAACCGCGAAGCGCGAAGCGCAAATAGCTTCGCGCCCTCGAGGGCGCCCTTGCGAAGAGGGCAACAAAACGACAACTCTGCCCGCACCCAGCGCCTCGGACGCCCTGCCTGCTGGCCCGAGCCCCTGCCCGGGCCACCTCTCACTGCACCGACCTTTGCAGATGTGCTGCGGCGGATTTCTGCGCGGATGTCTGCCAACGCAGGACTCCGAAACGGCGAGTGAAAAACGAAGTGGATGTCGCGTGGATGTTCTTTAGTCTTCGTTCCTGGCCCAACAACAAATCCGCACGACATCCACCTCGAACGCCGGAACGACATTCTCCAGGACACTCTCCGGGCCCATCCTGTCGTCTTCTGGGCGAACTCCGCTCTGCGATGTTGGCGCCATGACATCTCAGACCCCCAGACGGCTCCAAGCCTGGTCCAGCCTGTACCTGTCGTCCAGGAACGACTGGATCGACTCCGTGTCGTCCCCAAGCAGCCAGTGCACCATGTACTCGTGCAGCACCTGCTCGAGACCAGCGCGCGTGAGCGGCCTGGCCGTGGACTTCCGCTGCGCCTCGTAGACCTTCTCGAGCAACGCGGCGTCGGAGTCGGAGATGAGCTTCCTCTACACGGAAGAATGTGCGAGGCGGAGATCGATCACACCAAAAGAAACCCCAATCAGTGGATGGTTTGATGAGATCGATGGTGAGATCGATTGGTTCAGGTGATGAGGGAGATCGATCATGAGATCGATAGTGCATCGTGGGACCAATAAAAAGATCGATAAGGAGATCGACCGGGACCCAGGGAACTCGGAAACCCGGAACATACCTTAATCGGCCCGGAGCCAATGTCGCCCCCCACCCTCCAATGCATAAGGTGGAGGGCCCAGGGTGAAATCCATAGAATGGGCTTTTGCAACTCAAAATTAAATCCGTCTTGTGGTTCATCTTTTGCAGATTCAAACCTCGAAAATCAGTCGAAACGGCCTTCCAGATATCAACCTTTGCCCTCCACCCAAAGAAAATGCTCGGATAATACGGGATCGAGCCCCCCCCCCGCTGGATGGGTACGCCCGTGAGCGTCGCGTAGGCCTCGCGACTGGGATCGCTCCCCCCCCCTGTGGTCGTGGCCGCTCTGTGGGCGTGGCGTGATGGTGGGTGCCTGTGCCCCCCCCCCTCCCCCTGTGGGTGTGGAGTGGTTCGTCGTCGTCGTCGTCGTCGTCGTCGACGTCGTCGGCGTCGTCGTCGTCGTCGTCGTCGTCGTCGTCGTCCCCCCGCCCATCCCATCTGGCGGGGGGGCTGTTGCATCCATATCGGTCGCCTGTTGGACAAACGTCCTGGGACCCCGGCAGGAGGGTGGATATGGATGCATCTGGCCCCCATGGGGCCCGACTACATCCATCTCCACCGCGGTCCGAGGTCCTCGAAAATCGATCCCCCAGGCGGAAGTTCCTGATAAATCCAGCCCAGGAGGAAATACGACACAAACATTGACTTCAAGAGATCCGCGTGGACTTCTTGAATCGGCGCTGGGAATCCCCTCCCTGGCGCGCGGACCTCCTAAGGCTTCTGTTCACGGTCGGGATCGTTTCGCGGTCGCGGCCCCCGCGACACGCTATGCCCTGCGAGCGGAAACCGTGTCGCTCCGCTCCGCTCCGCCGGGCGAGCCGCTGGAAAAGGCTCGGGACCCTCACGCTGGGGAGTGGTAGGGCGTCCCACCGCGGCGTGGTTGGCCGGAACAGGCGGAGCGACACCCTAAGCCAACATTCCCGTCCATGCGTTCATGCGGCTCCTTCTCGCGCGCAAGCCTCTTTCGGTCAACCCCACCGGCGTATGCTCGGTGGTCGTCGGCTTCACACGACCCGCGAATTCCCCCGCTGAGTTGCATCAGCGGTGCGCGAAACACACATTGCGGATTCTACTTTCCTCTTCGATCCTCAGCATCGCCACCATGTGCACTGCGTCGTGCAGGTCGAAGCCGTGCTCCTGCGCGTGCTGCGACTCCAACGCCGCCTCCAAGTACGCGGGCACCTGCCGGCTCAGGATGTCCGCGGAGCCCACGAAGGACTGGTTAGGCTGCAGGGAGCGCTCGAAGCCGCGGATCATGATCGAGGAGGCGCCCACGAAGTAGCGGTGAGCGATGTATCGGAGGAGGGGTCGCTCGATGCGCCCGCTGGCGCTCTTCGGCAGGGACTTCCAGATCGGCAGCAGCCTCCTCTCGATGGCGGCCAGCTTCTCCTTCCTCTTCTCAGGAACATCCTCTCCGCAGCCCAGCGTATCACCTAAGGCGTCGCGCAGATTGCTGTAGAACAGATCCTTGTCGACCGTCGCCCGCAGCGTGCCCTTGCGCTGCACCAGCTCTGTCCTGGCGTGGACGCAGGCGGGGATCACAATGGCGGCGAAGATGAGGGCCGCGTAAGTCGGAGGAGCTGGCATGACTTCAGAACATGTAGGCTAAATTTACTTGGCGAGGCGCTTGCGAGCCGCAAGAGGACGGGGTATCGCTCTCTTTCCTTGAGCAACAATGGTTGCGGAGAAGGCGGGAAGAGGAGGACGATCGGGACAATTGTCAGGATTGGGGGAGACTCGCAGGTAGTTTCCACAGCGGGTCCTCACTGGTCGAACACCTGGGATAGGCTGAACGGAGGGAGGCAAACCGGCTCAAAAACCAAATAATTGGAGGATAGCGAATCAGCGTATCTGTCCTGGCAAACGTCGGCTCAAGGGCCGTAAGGCGAGGAGGAGGAGGAGGAGGAGGAGGAGGAGGAGGAGGAGGGAGAGGAGGAGGAGGAGGAGGAGGAGAAGGAAGAGGAGGAGGAAGAGGATGAGGAGGAGGAGGAGGAGGAGGAGGAGGAGGAGGAGGAGGGGGAGGAGAGAGAAGAAGAATGACGCAGCGTCTCTGGGGTCGCCGTCGCCGTCGTTCTCTTCTTGCTTCCTCCCTCCTTGTCGCTGCCTGACTTGTCCTATACTGAGAGCGGACACATCCTACGCCCTCAGCGATGGCCATGGGTGCAAAGGGCGGCGTCACCTGATTCGAGCCTCCTGCTGCTCCTGCACCTTTTCCTCCTCGCGCCGTCCCTCCTCCCTTCTTCTCCAGTCTCCTCCTTCCCTCCTCCTCCCTTCCCCTCCTGGACGAGAAAGCGGAGGAGTGGGGAGGAGGAAGACGGAGGAAGAGGACCAGGGGAAGGAGCAAGAGGAGAAGAGGGAGGACGAGGATGAGCAGAAAAACGAGGAGAACGAGAAAGGAGGGGAGCATGATGAGGCGGACGTCGGCCTCCAGGGATCTATGCAATGCAAGATGACCTGGATGCCGAGGGGGAGCCAGCCGCGGCGACGAGACGCCTCCCAGGTGCCCCGAAGAGGCAAACACAAACGCTCAAAAGCTGGAGCCACGAATCTCAAGGAGGAGGCAGAGGAGGAGGGGAGGGAGGAGGAGGAGGAGGAGGAGGAGGAGGAGGAGGAGGAGGAGGAGGCAGAGGAGGAGGGGAGGGAGGAGGAGGAGGAGGGAGGAGGATATGGAACTTGTTGGGCCTGGCGCTTGATGGACAGGTAAGGTAACCTTGAGACGACAGGAGGAGTAGGAACTCTGTGGCGACTGGAAGAGAACCACGGTTATCTGACGCTTCTGGCCGGTGGGGGCCTCCAGAGGCCTTCGGAGGAGAAGGGTGATGAGGAGGGGGAGGAGGAGAATAAGGTGGGAAATGAGGAGAAGGATGAGGATGAGGATGAGGTTGCGGATGAGGATGAGGATGAGAATGATGATGATGATGATGCTGATGATGCTGATGATGCTGATGATGCTGCTGCTGCTGATGATGATGATGATAATGATGATGATGATGATGATGATGATGATGATGATGATGATGATGATGATGATGATGGTGAGAAGGAGGAGGAGGAGGAGGAGGAGCCGAAGACCCGAGGAAGATGACGATAGGAAAAGGCCTTGCTCCCACATGGCGGGACCGTCTCTCGGCTGCAGCCCCCTCCAAGAGCGGGCCTCGAACACGTCCGGGCTCAGTGCCTGCCCCGCGGAGTCCACGGAGGTGGGAATGCACCTTCCCCGGCGCCTCCCCCGCCTCCTCCTCCTCTTCCCCAGGAGGTTGCCAGGAAGGGGAGGGAGGAAGAAGGGAGGGAGTAGGACAAGGGACGAGGGATGAAGGGAGGAGGAGGAAGATGAGGAGGAGGAGGAGGCGGAGGAGGAAGAGGAGGAGGGTGAGGAGGAGGAGGAGGATGAGGAGGAGGAGGAGGAGGTGGAGAGGACGAGGACGAGGACGAGGAGGAGGAGGAGGAGGAGGAGGACAAGGAGGAGGAGGAAGGTGAGTTATGGCGCCAAATTGCCGCTCCCTTGCGGCGCGCTCGGCCTGGCTTCGCGTGTCTGCAGCACCTCTCGCGCTGGCATGAGGGTCTCTGTGTCCTTGACGTGGTGTGCTACGGCAGCTGGGGCGTCGTGCTCATTCCGCCAGAATTCCCACAACTTGTCGTGCTTGCTGTCGTTCTGGTAGGCAACATTGGCCTCATTGCTGCTGCTGAGCATGATCCGGCCGTCACCATCTGCTCGATGCCAAGCTTCTCCCCCTTCGAGCTGCCGCCCCAACAGGGGTTCTTCTCCATTTCCCAACACCCCACCGGCGACACGATTCCTCCATTTGTCAAGGTGCACGACCAAGTTAGCTGCCCACAGCCCGGCCTGCCGTATCATGCCACCATCTTCCCGTCTGTGCCCGAGAGGATTCAGCCTATCACCTTGTCGGTACAAACGACGTCTTGCGGACACAGCTTGGGCGTGAACTGGCGTCCGCGCATGAACTCAGGAAACTCTGTGCCGGGTATCTCGCTCTGCTTCATGGGCGCACCCAGCCAGTTCCAGGCGGCCATCAACAGGAGGACGGCCTTCCAAGTGAAGGCGCGCGCATTGCTGAAAAGAAGCGCGAGTTCTCCATCGGCGTTCCTGTGGTCCACTGGGGTGCCCTTGCGCAAGGCAGCGAGGTATTTGGCAATCGTTAGCCTCAGGCGGAACGTGCTGGTGAGTGGTTGAGTTCCACGTTGACCGTCCAGTCGTAATCCCACCGGCCCTCTGGGCTGAGGTGGTCTACGGAGTTTGGTCTTGATTTTTTCCGTTCGGGAAGGACGGCTGACCCCTCCCCCTCTCCTCCTGCGTAGATCGGGACGGAGGGGGCGGGAGGGGTTCAAGCTCGAAGATGGCCCAGTACGGCTCCAAGAAGGCGTTAGATAGCCTCAGATGGCCTGGAAGATTCCTCAAGATAGCCCGAGACGGCTCAAGATGTTGTCCACACGCCTCCCATAGGTCGCAAGACCACCCAAAGATGGACCGAAGTGGGCACGGGATCCTCAAATGTGACCCGCAAGATGTCAACACATTTCAGAATTTCACCTAGAAAGGCATCAATGATTTGTGCCTTCTCGACTTTTGGCGTCCACTGGGCTCCTGAGGTCTCAAGATGGCTCCAAGACGGCCCAAGAGAGATCGAACAGGGTCGCAGAAACACGGCACCAAGAGCGTCCCGAAAGCGTGAAAGAATGGCCCAGCGTGGCGATTGCTCACCTGGCTCCCAAAAAATAACACTTGAGAACTCCCCCTTCGCTTAACACCACATCCACTGAACACACATTCGATGTTTCTGTGACTGGCAGAATCCTTGGGGGGATCCTCTGGGAGTCTGTTGGGCCACGCTGGGCTCCAAGGTGCCATCTGACAGCTAAAGATGCCCCTGCAGTATGGCGCACGGTGGTCCAGACCTGCTCCATACGGTCGCGAACTGGTGCCCAGCGCGTCGCGACGCCGACGCCAGCGACACGCCATCCCTTGCCAACGGAGAGCGTGTCGCTCCGATCCGCGGTGCAGGAGGGCTCCGAGAAAAGCTCGGGACGCGGACGCCCGGGGACCGCGACGTGGTAGCGTGCCGTGCCGAGGCACTGCAGGGCAGGGGCAGAGCCGGCGGCGCGGCACGCGAGCCAAGAGCTCCTGGCCGAAACGCCTCCGGGATGCTGTCAAAGAGGCCCCGAAACGGCTCCGCGGCCGCACGGCGAGGGCATTGGATAAGGAACAGGTGGACAAGGGACCCAGGTTCTGGAAGCCAGTGGAGCACAAGGTGAGGCCCGACCATGGAACTCACCGCGGCCCTCATGAGATGATGACTCCTCCGAGGTCTGTCGCCTCCTGGGCACATTCCCTAACGAACGCCCCCACCGTATTCGGCCGCCGCCAAGAGGCAACATTCGCTTGAGCACCTGAGGAGAATCAGTGCTGTTTGCCCTCACGCCCTCTCTTCTCCGATGAGCTGTTGTGGCCGAAGAGGTTTCCAAGATCACCCAGGAGAGCCCCGAGACGGGCCCAGAGGGCTCCAAGATGGCCACGGGAGCGCCCCCGAAGCACCCCAAGAGTCGAGGTTGCAGGCCCCGACGGGCGACACGAATGGGGCAGGGACCGACCCCTCAGTGAGGATGCCAGTCAACGAAAAAGCTCCAAAAGCTCCACAGATTGGCCCAAGAGGGCTCCAAGATGGCTCAAAGAGGCTCCATAGAGGCTTCTATATTGAAGGGTCAGAAAACAACGGAGATCTACGCCGCCACAGAGCGGAGCAAAGCGGAGCGCAGCCAAAATGGCGCGGGAGGCGTCACACAGGTACCGGAGGCACACTCACGAGGATGCCGATGAAAACGCCGGTGAAGAATGGGCGAGAGAACGCCACACTTACCCAGGACGGCGGTGACCAGGAAGGCTGTGAGGGGTACATTTTCCTCGCGGGCGCAAGCGAAAGCGCAGGCGCCGAGTTGAAAGGTCTGGGCCACGGGCCGATCTAATTTACACGCGCGGGCGAGGCCGCCTACGGCGTCGCTGTGAGGGATACGCGAAACGTTCAGAATTCTCGAGGATCCGCTGCTGGAGCAAAAATCCCAATACAAATCAATGCGACATCATGTTCCGGCGGTTGAGCTATCTGCTGTCTTCGCGCTCAAGGTCCTGCTTCGGAATCAGCACCCTCACGGCGTCCTCGGCGCCGCCTGGGGTACCTGTGTCCTTGAAGAATATGTGCTCCTCGCACCTTGCCACCATCTGCCACACCTCAACCCTCTGCTCCTCCTCGGCAAGGGCCTGCTTGGCCCACAAGAAGCAGGACACGGTCATGCCCCGCGCCTCGGCCTCCACACCACGGGGGAACCGGCGACGGCGTCCGCTCCAAGCCTGGCGCGCGCGCGGGCTTGGACGGCTGCGCCGCAGCAGCGTCCTCGGCGTCGACCTTGGCGCGCCCATCCTTGTACTGCTGGGTCGTGGTGCTCTTCAGATTTCTGCGCATCGCCTGACAGGCCCCAGCAGCAGAGGTAGTCGTACGCAGAACCGGTCGGTCTCGTTCCACAGCCGCGGGAGACCAGGGGGCCCGGCGGGGCCCGGCGGGGCCGCCGCGCCATTGGCGTGGGCAGAGCCGGCGCGGCTGGCGCGACCACGAGTCCGGCAATCTGCGGGGCCTGGCGGGGCCGCAGATTGCGGGAAATAGCGCGGACGGAACTAACACAACCATCACAACTGACCCCGCGCAGCGGGCGCCACATGGCACGCCCGCTGGTGCGGACCACACCTCCCCGCGGCGCAGCCCCCCGGGCGGACGCGGCTGGCGCGCCAGCATGCGCAGACAGGCGGTCCGCTGGCGAAGCTGGCGCGGTCGGCACCCTGGCTGGGGGCGCGTCGGTCGGCGTTGCCTGCTTGGCGGGTGGCGCCGGCGCTTGCGCGGCCCGCGAGGAGGCCTCCTGCCGCACCCGCCCCGGCATCCGCAGCGGCTCCTCGCGGCGGAACGCCGCGGCCAGCGCCACCCCCGCGCCTCCGCGGGCGGGCTCGGCGGCGGCTGCCGCGGCTCGGCCGCCGCCAGAGGCGGGGCCGAGGGCGAAGCCAACCAAGGGCCAGGAACGACAGCGGAGCGCAGCAGCGGCGGAGCCCTGGGGCGCAGGGGCAGCGCTTCCCCGCGCGGGCCGCGGCCGGCGGCGATCGGCCCGCGCGGCGGGCCCCCCGCCGACCAGCGGCGCCGCCTCGCCCGCGTCACTGCCGCCGACGTCCGCCAGGACGCCCAGCGCGGCCGCGGAGGGGAGCGCCATGGCGCCCGCCGCGCCGCGTGGGCGGTGCCATGGCCGCTCTGGCCAACGATAGCCGCTGCGGCGGCATGACACAACTGAATTCTCTGCAGTGCAGCACAGCCCCTGGAACGGTAGCATCACAGTCGGTACCGCTCCTTTCCACCCCTCCATCCTCATCCATGCGGTCCGACGGCGGAGGGGCCATCGCCCATGGAAGGAGCCCACGCGGGCCACCGAAAGTGTCTGCCAGGATTGAGGATGAAGATGAGGGAGATGCACGGAGAGGGCCACAAAACAAGTCAAAGCCTCCCCCGAGCCTTCACCCAGGGGAGGTCATCATGTGTCAAACGGAATACGCCCTAACCTGGGTCAATGCAGCCCTGGCTTTGCAGGATCCTGCGAGATCCGTCGCCCTGGCTGACCCCCGTTTGCGTTGACCCCCGTCCCTTGAGCCCCGACCCTGTGTCCCACCCACCGGCCCAGAGGAGGAGGAGGAGGAGGAGGAGGAGGAGGAGGAGGAGGAGGAGGAGGACAAGGGGAGGAGGAGGACAAGGAGGAGGAGGAGGAGGAGGAGGAGGGAGGAGGAGGAGGAGGAGAGGAGGAGGAGGAGGAGGAGGAGGAGGAGGAGGAGAGGAGGGGGAGGGGGGAGGAGGAGGAGGGAGGAGGAGGATGGAGGAGGAGGAGGAGGGGAGGAGGAGGAAGAGGAGGAGGAGAGGAGGAGGAGGAGGAGGAGGAGGAGGAGGAGGAGGAGGAGGGAGGAGGAGGTGGAGGAGGAGGAGGAGGGGAGGAGGGGGAGGGGAGGAGGAGGAGGAGGAGGAGGAGGAGGGAGTGAGGAGGAGAGGGAGAGAAGGAGGAGGAGGAGGAGGAGGAGGAGGAGGAGGAGGTGGAGGAGGACGACGAAGGGGGTACCCAGGCGGCAGGCGGGCACAGCATCTTGAATACAGGCCCTCCCAGAGAGTCACATAACACAGCAGAAGCACATCGGTTCTGGGAGTGGGAAGGCGCTTGAAGCAGCTGGGGATCTGGGAATCCAGGAACACCTGCTTTCAACGACCGACGTGTGCGCGGGTGGACTTCTCCTCTTCAGGCTCCGTCCAGAATCTGTCCCTGGGCCCGTGCCCGGGGTCCGTCGTGGCCAGGCTCGAGCCGCGTCTGGCTGTGGCGACGAGGCCCCCCCCCCAGGAGCATCCCAACAACCTCCCCATACGACGACGTTCGCGACGACGACGACGACGAACACGACGACGACGACGACGACGACGACGTTGACGACGACGACGACGTTCACGACGACGACGACGACGACGACGACGACGTTCACGACGACGACGTTCACGACGACGTTCACGACGACGACGACAGCGACGACGACGACGACACCGACGACGATGGGAGGGGTTTAGAAGAGGATGGGGAAGAAGGCGAGGAAGATGGAGGAGAGAAGTGGATGTAGAGGAGGGAGGAGGATGAGGAGGAGGAGGAGGGGGAAGCGTCGAATGAGGAAGAGGTAGAAGGAACGGGGAAACGGGGAAAGGATGGAGGAGGTGAAGTGGACGTGACATACTAAAATTTCCGAAACAACACGTTAGCTAGGCCCCAAAGATGAGGCTCTGGCACCCTCGATGTGCATTGAATACGTTGCAGGCCTGGGCTGGAAAGGAGGGCAGTTCAAATTCAATGGGTCGCAAGCTCTGTGGTGAACACGATGTGGTGCAAGCTAGTGCTGACATCATTTTTGGTACCAGATATGGGGTGCGAGCTATGCGGTGCAAGCTATGCAAAGTCGTGTGATGCAGGCCATGTGATGCAAGAGGTGTGGTGCACCCGGTGCGCTGCAGGCTGTGTGATGCATCCCGTGTGCGGTGCAGTCTGTGTGGTGCGGCGTATGGGCTGCAAGCCGTGCCATGCCAGCTGTGTGATGCTAGCTGCGCGTGCTGCAAAAGCTCTGTGGTTTGAGCAGGGGCCGACCGTCCTGGCATTTCTATAGTCCTACCACGCAATGTTCGTAGAACCCAAGAATCTTCTAAAAACAAAAAACACGGTTCTTAGAACATAAGACCGATGTGATAAGACAAGACAGACTCCGCCAGAACTGCTCTAAGAACATCTCGTGGAAACCACAAAAGGTCCCTAGAACATTGTTTGGTAGGCCTATAGGCCTGTTTCCCACCACCACCACCACCACCACCACCACCACCAACAACAACAACAACAACAATCACTTTACCCGAACGCTCAGTGTTCTCACCAGTGCCGGGGTTTTCATGCGACGCCAGCCAATACCCCCACTTTGTGGGGGGGCAGTGCAAGCTCTACCAAATATCCACACGACTCTTCGCCACCACCCACACCCAGCTTCCCGCCCTATGACGTTCGGACACTTCACTTCGTGGCCTGCGGACGACCGTGGCTACTACACTGGCGTGGAGTACACACCCACAGAAGTTGTTAGGACAGCGCGCGCGGGTAGAAATTTTGAAAAGTCGTGCAGGTGTTTTTCGAGGACCTACGGTGCGATTCGTGTGATTTTATGATGCGCGGTGCTAAAATTCTTAAGAAGCCCAATGGTTTTTGGAGATTTCGGCGTGCGCGCGCGAAGAAAAAAACGAATGTGTCCCGCATGGTATTATTTGACAGGGATGATGGCCCTGGCAGGTGCGCAACCGTTGTCGCAGAAGTTCGAAAAAGTTGCTCGCAAAAGCCCGTTTGACAGAAATGTTTAAAAAGTGTTGGGTTTCCTACGAATCCGCAAGAGCGCGCGGGATGAGATTTTGACATTTTTTTGTTGAAAAAACCATTGGTTTTTTGATGTTTTTATGTTGAAATCGCTCCGAACACTAAGCTTTTGGAAGGATTTCGTCTTGCGCGCGCGAATGTCCACTTTACCTTATTTTTTGCAAAGGATTCTTGAAATTTGATTATATTAGAACAAGAAATGTCATTTTATAGTGTTTTTTGCAAGGGAAAGCGGGGGGGAAACAAAACAACCGGATCTTGATCACATCGAATTACCTGAGGCTTCCTCACGAAAATGATGAAAATGTAGCTGCGGCCTAGGCGCGGCGCAGGGGGGCGTGCACCAGGGGTCCCAACAATAATTATTCTTTAGAATTAATAATGTTCAACAACAACAACACCATAAGTTGGAGGGGGGGAGGAGGAGGAGGAGGAGGAGGAGGAGGAGGAGGAGGAGAGGAGGAGGAGGAGGAGGAAGAGGAGGAGGGGGGGAAGAGGGGTTTGGTAGGGCTATAGGCGAGCCAGGACGCCTCGCCCCCGCTCCAGTGGTGGCGGCCCCTGCGGTGCACCCGGCGCACCAGGCGCCCACGAGGCGCCCGCAGCAGGCCGCCGCCTGGGCACCGGACGCAGGCCCAGCCGAGCGCACGGGGCGGCCGCGAGGTGACCACGAGCGGCCACCATCGAGGCACCGGAGGAGGCCCAGGCACCCGATCTCCTCCTCCCCCTCCTCCTCCTCTCCTCCTCCTCCTCCCCCCCCCCTCCTCCCCTCCTCCTCCTCCTCCTCCTCCTCTCTCCTCCTCCCCCTCCTTCCCCTCCTCCCTCCTCCCTCCTCCTCCTCCTCCTCCTTCCTCCTCCTCCTCTCCTCCTCCTCCTCCTCCTCCCCCTCCTCCTCCTCCCTCCTCCTCCTCCCTCCTCCTCCTCCTGCGGCCTTCAGGGCTGAACCTGAACGTCGTGTTTCGTTACGTTTTCGTTTTTCGCAGCCTCTTTCCCTGTACCTCCCTCCCAAGACACCAAAAACTGAACACGGCCCAAGTCCAGCAACAAACCGTTGAGGCCGAGCCCTGGCTGCCAGTTCGGCCTCCAGGAGACGTGTTCAGGCCTTTGGGACCCGAAGGCACTTCGGGCGACGACCAGCTGGTCCTGGGGAGGGGGCCCCCGTCGTGAAACAAAAACCAAGGAGGAGGAGGAGGAGGAGGAGGAGGAGGAGGAGGACGAGGAGGAGGAGGAGGAGGAGGCAGCCCTGGCTGCCTCCTCCTTCCCCCTCCGCCCACGCCAGCCCAGCACAGGTAGCGGCCAGGACACGAGATACGTCCACAGGCGGCCGCCGGCTGGGCATCCATGCGAAGCCGTGCACGCCGACCCAGCACACGAGACGCTCACTCAACGGGAAGCCACCAACCGCAGCCCCGACCCTTTTCCTAGGTGGGGGGCCACATGCAAACCCCAACCCCTACCCCCCTCAGCAATCGTGGGGGGGTAGGGGTAGGGTTCGCATGTGGCCCCCTACTATGACTTCGTCTTGAGTCGTTCTCTGACGGTTCCCCGGCCCAGCGAGGGACCCCAGGGGCCGAAAACTGCTTGTCCGCACGTCGCAGACCCAGGCTCCTGACGTCGTGATCTGTTCGCGGCGACGACCCCTGAAGGTCTTGACCCATTCCCCGGGACATGCTTTACATCTCTGAATCGTTTTCTTTACGGCCCCTGGGCTCAGCGAAGCCGAATACTATAGCCGGGTTGCTGAGAGAAAGACCACGACCTTCATGTCAGGAACGAAGCGCATTTCTTCCAAGCCGAACCGTAAGATCCCAAAGAACGGCCGAGCCCCTTCCTAGCGACGTTCCGTCATGACTGGCCTTCGTGATTGAATCCCCCTTCTGCGTGTGCCACGGATTCAGGAACATCTACGGGGTTCGCCATCCAACCGCTCAACGCAACGCATGCAAACCTGAGGAACCACCGAGCTCCTCCCGAGCTCGGGGTGGGCCTTTTTTCAGCGAGCTGACCGTGTATCACAAACGCGTGCGTCGTGATCGTTTCATGACCCGAGGGGGTCTGCGGAGGCCTTGGAGTGGCGACGCGGCGCACGGCGCTCGGGCCCCAGCTCGGGCTTCGGGCGGCCGTGTAGAATGATCCAGGCACACCACGCAGGCCCTCGGTGAGGCGCAGCCCCTGGAACGCATTCCAAGGTTGAAGAACCTGTTGGAACCGACGAAACCGCCAGAGCACCTCGAGCCCCACCCCTCCACAACTCCCCCCCACTCTCGATGGAAGAGCCTGTCCCTGAAGCATAATACAACTCCGAGTCATAATGCACTGAATTCGTGGCCTGACTGTGGTCCTCGATGCTTAGGGTTGTCCCTGAAAGATGTGTGGGTCGTGGCGTCTGTGGCATCTGCACCAGAAAGACCCCCTATCCCTAATGCTCTTGGTCCTCCTGACGTTGGCCGCCTCCCACAATGGATTGAGGGTACTCGTCTTGCTGATCACTGGTGCTCCCCCTTCCCTCCACGCCCGAGGACTCACGGAGTCCAGATGTCCCGATCGCTCTCGGGCGCAGCGACGACGCCCGCCCCCCTTGGCGGCAACTCATGGGAGCCTTCCGCACCATCATCTGGTTGGCTCTTGCGGGCCGACGCTCATCGAAGCTAGCCGACGCTCATCGAAGATAGCCGACGCTAAGCAACGCTAAGTCGACGCTGATCGTCGCAAATCGACGCTCATCGACGCCAAATCGGCGCTATCTATCTCGTCGCGAAAACCAGACGCTAATCGACGCTAGCGCACGCTAAAAGCGGAATTGCGAGGGTAGGCCAGGCTCCCACGACTTGCTGACGAAGCCTTCGTCCCATGGGGGGCAACGATAGGGGGGGGCTGGCATGGGGGGGATGCATCGACCTGGAATCGACGCTACATCGTCGATAGATCGGCGATAGGCCCCCGCTCGTGCATCCGCACCTTCTTGGACGGGTTGGGGCTATCAGACCCCTGTCTGCGATCAATGGGCGATGGGGGTCGATGCATCATGCATCCCCCCTGTGCCTGTCCCCCCCGATCGTTCGTTGCCCTGCACGGTTTCCCCCAGGGCCGTAGGCGACACGATGAGGAGGAGGAGGAGGAGGAGAAGGAGGAGGAGAAGGAGGTGGAGGAGGAGGAGGAGGAGGAGGAGGGGATGGAGGAGGAGGGGATGGAGGAGAGATGGAAGAGATGGACGAGGTGGAGGAGGAGGAGGAGGAGGAGGGAGGAGGAGGAGGAGGAGGAGGAGAATGGAGGAGGAGGAGGTGGAGAAAGAGGAGGAGGAGGGGAATGAGGGGAGGAGGAGGAGGAGAGAGGAGGAGGAGGAGGAGGAGGAGGAGGAGATGGAGGATGTGGAGAAGGAGGAGGAGGAGGAGGAGATGGAGGAGGAGATGGAGGAAGAGATGGAAGAGGAGGATGAAGAGACGGAGGAGGAGGAGGAGGAGGAGGAGGAGGAGAAGGAGGCCCGTGAGCCCTGTGGGGGGGGGCGGGCACGGCGTCGACGTGGCGTGCAGCACCGGGGCCGACAGGTGGTGGCCCCTGTGGTTGCAGAGGAAGCCTCGCAAGAGTGGCGGGGCGCGCGCCCGAGGCTCGGGCGCCGGGTGGGCCCCGCGGGTCGAGGAGCGAGGATCGCGGCTCGAGGCAAGGCTCGGGCTACCCACTGGTCAGAAGAAGTAGGTAGAAACATGAAGTAGGAAGGCGTTGGAAATAGATTGGGTTTCCGCCCGCCTGGTGGGGGAAGGAAGAGGGAAAACCACTCGACTCTTGAAGTAGGAAGGCGCTGAAAGTAGATTGGAATCTGGGAATCCAAAAATACCTACTTTCAACGACCGATGGGTACACCCGAGAGAACCCCCATCAGTGAGGGTTTGGAAATGGGATCGGTCAAGAAATCGACAAGGAGATCGGCCGGGAGCCTGGGAACCCGGGAGCCCAGAACCCACCGAAATCGGCCTGGAACCAGTAACCAGGAACCCGGGAACCCGGAACTGGGAACCCAGGAGCCCAGCCAGACACCAAAATCGGCGGGACACTTTCGCAAAATCTATCAATTTCCGCTAAGACCCCTTCAGTGCAAACACTGATTGGAGAACAACGTTTTTCGTTGTTCGTTTTCCTCGGCTGCACGTGCCGCACAGACCCGCTATTATCACATCTGATTCAATTTTCGTTGGCCCGGGCGATACTTCTGCAAGGGACCTGACGGGAGTTGACTTGCAGGGCATTCAACAATCGTTGAATGCGATGCGACAGTAGCGGCTTGTACGCTTCGTGGTCTCCCAAGGGACCCCCGCTCAGGCCGCGCACCAAAGGTCACTCCAGCAAAAGGTCACTCTTATGTGTAGCCGATTTCCTTCGTTCTGTGTTCTGTCTGCTTCTGCTGCGAAACTCACCCAAAACGAAACGGGTCCGCGACAGCGCCCAAACAGCTTTGAGTTCGAGCCATGGTTCGAGGATCCTCGCGTCCACATCCTCGAGCCTCGATTCCCGATCTCCCATCCTGGACCCGGTGCTGGCTCCCGTGGCTGCAGAGGAGGCCTCTCGAGAGGACGCGTCAGAGAAGATGTCGAGGTTCGAAGGTCGAAGATCGGCCTCCGTTTCTCCTTCCCCCTCACCTCTCCGTCTCCATCCTCCTCGTCCTTCGCATCTCCTTATCGAGGACCGAAGATGAGCGAGAATTGATCGAGGTTCGCGGATCGAGGATCGAAGATACGCGACGCTGTCGAAGACGTCGGCAATGTTGTTGCAGAGGTTTTTCGGGGCCTTTCTGACAACTCTGGTCTCCATGGTCAGGCGCGGCTCAAAGAGCTGGCCAGGATGGAGCCTGGGAGGGATCTGGGGAGTTATTCTGGACGGATTTCCGAAAAGGGATGCCGAAGATCGGCAGAAAGATAAGACGAGAGAAAGAGAGAGGGCTCATGTTCCGAGCCTCAGAGGGTACTACGAGAAGGGACCACGTCGGCCTTTGTGTTGAAGGGCGACCCTGCTGCACGGGGTCGGAAACCACAACCACCTTCTTAGCGTGCGGGGACGTGCCCTGCAGTCAATCCCACCCATGATGTGGTGAGTGCCCCCCACGCACACACACAACACACACACACACACACACTTTTTTGTGTAGCGGGCCGGTCGCGGCTTTTGGCGGTCGCGGCCTCGCGCGCGGCGAAGAGGCGGAGAACGCGGCAAAGTGCAGCGGCTGGGGCCCCGCGCGCGCGCTGGGCTCAGGGGGACAAGACACACACAGACACACAGACACACGGACACACAGACACACACACGCACAAACACACACACACACACACACGTACACACGCACAGACGCACTCACGCACGCACACGCACGTCCACGCACACGCACACGCACACGCACACGCACACGCACACGCACACGCACACGCACACGCACACGCACACGCACCACACACACACACACACGCACAAGGATGCATGCACGCACGCAGGCACGCACACGCACACGCACACGCACACGCACACGCACACGCACACGCACACGCACACACACACACACACAGACGCACACACGCACAGACGCACTCACGCACGCACGCACGCACACGCACACGCACACGCACACGCACACGCACACGCACACGCACACGCGAGCGCCTCCGGGGGGCCTCCCCTCGCCCCCGACCCTCGGGCTCCACCGCGTGCCAGGAGATCCTCCTCCTCCTCCCTCCTCCTCCTGCTCCCTCCTTCTCCTGCTCCCTCCTCCTCCTCCCTCCTCCATCCTCCTACCCCCCTCCTCCCTCCTACTCTCCTCCCTCCTCCTCCTTCCCTCCCTCCTCCCTCCTCCCTCCTCCCTCCTACCTCCTCCCTCCCTCCTCCTCCTCCTTCCTCCTCCTCCCCTTCCTCCTTCCCTCTCCTTGCTCCTCCCCATCCTCCTCCTTCCTCCTCCTCCTCCCTCCCTCCCTCCTCCTCCTCCTCTCTCCTCCTCTTCCTCCTCCTCCCTCCTCCTCCTCCCTCCCTCCTCCTCCCTCCTCCCTATCCTCCTCCTCCTCCTCCTCGCCCCCCCGAGAGCGTGGGATGCTCCACAACGGCTGCAGCTTCGGTCTCGAGACCCCTGCGCTGCCCGGGACGGGGATCTCCGGGTGCTCCTGCTCCCTCGCCCTCCTGCTCTCTCTGTGCCCTTCCCTCTCCTCCTCGCCCTCCGCCAAGATTCCGGCCTCCCTCCCTCTCGCCATCCCAGTCCTCTGTGCTGCCTCCGCCCTCCTCGCGCGCTCCCTGGTCCCAGCCTATATCCTCCTTCCACCCGCCATCCTCCCCCATCCTGCGTGCCCCCCCCCCCACCCGAGAGCCACCACTTCAACATTATCCCTGCTCCTTCCGCCCTCCTCCTCCTCCTCCGTCCTCTCTCCTTCCTCTCCCGTTCCTGCCTCCTTCCTTCCTCCCTGCTCCGTTTGCTAAGCTGAAGGTCCGCGCTACTGGATCGCGAAGGAGAAGACACCACCCAAAGGAGAGGGCGGGCGGATGGAGAATGTGCCCGGCCATTCTCCCAACAGGGCCCCTGGCACCACAACGTGAAACAGAACGCTGCTGCGCGAGACGGGGCTACTGAACAACTGGTAACGACCATGTGGCCCTGCAGATCGAAAATGGGATCACACTCCAGAAGGCGACTGCCTGAGCGGTGATGAAAATCAAAAGCGCATCAAGTCCAGCAGCCCCTGTGCACAAGGGGCCAAGCACCACCTTCACTCCTCCTCCTCCTCCTCCTCCTCACCCAGCGTCATGACCCACTTCTCCTTCCCGAAGCCCCCTCCGATGTCCATGCTGGCCTTGCCGCTGGAGGTGTCGAGCGTGATGATGGTCTTGCCCTCGGCCTGATTTCCGCTGATCTTGCCATCGACCGTAAGCTGCATGTCGCCCGTCCAGCACTCCATCACGAGGATGCTGCCCTCGTCGCGGATCACGATGTTGTACAGCGTGTCATGAACAAACAAGTCCTCCTCGCTTTTGGCACCCGGGCGGAGCATCATGATCTTGAGCGCGGGCATGTCCTCGCGCGCCTTCGGGACCTGGGGCGCGAACATTCGTATCATGTCGGCCTTCTCCTCCTCCGAATCGAACTTCTCGGCGGCCACGAAGTTGTACCTGCGATCGTCATTGAAGAAATACTTGCCGCAGAACTTGTCGAGGAGGGGGTGCTCGGCGCCCGACATGCTGCGCTTCGACCCGCCGACGGTAGCAAAGGTCAGTGTCGAGGTCAGTGCCGCGGCGGCGAGAGCCGCGGATAGGCTCCGAGACATGCAACTCGCCCGTAGCAGCAGATGCTGGAGTCGAGATGGCTTGAGCCAAAATGACTAAGGTTCGGTCTGGCATGTCCCCCGACAGGCGGATTGTGGACGAAAACAATTATCAAATAATATACCGACATGATCAGATATAGTCGAACATCGTACCCAGACAATGTGTTGCTATTTTTGAATGTTTCTCCCGTAGAGGGACATGCCCAACTTAAGACTAAGGACCGTGTCACTGTTACTGGAGGGCCACGGCGGAAGAACCGAGCAAGAGAGAGAGAGAGCGACAGGACTATAGAGAGAGGGAGGAAGAGAGAGGGACATGCAGGCATGATGGGAGGGAACAGCGGAGACATAAGAGAGGGAGAGAGAGAGAGAGAGAGATAGAGAGATGGAGAGAAAGTGAGAGCGAGACAGAGAGAAAGGAAGAGAGAGGGAGAGATGACGAAAGAGAGGGTGTGAGACCGAGGGGGCAAACGGACAATTGACAAGGACTCGCGCCGATGGCGGGCGAGAGCAAGGGAGGATTGAAGGAGGCAAGGGTGAGGGAGACAGGGGAGGAGCGTGCTGAAAAGAAAGATCCGGATGGGTGTGGGGGGTGGGTGGGCGGCGAAGAACAGATGGGCAGGAACGTAGAAGTGAGGTGTACGGCGACAGAGGGAGGGAAAGCTCATGGAAACTGGAAACAACAGAAAGAGAAAGAGAGAGAGAGAGAGATACTAAATAGATATTTACACAGGACTGCATTGGCGCTTCGCGCCATGCACCTTGGTCCTTGAAGTTCGGCAGGCAGGCGGAATGGCAGGAAGGTCAATCAGGCGATTTAGCTAGAACCCCTTGATGCCTTTTCCAGCATCGCCGTTATAATCATGGTATTCGTTATCCTTCCTCCATGCTTCTTTTTCCTAATTCTCGCCCTACCCTGCGAATTCTTCCCCATCCTCCTCAGTTCTTTTCGCGGAGGTTCATCCTTGGAGAGCCTCTGGAGGCCTCACGGAAGTTTTTCAGGCTTTCTTAAAGCCTTCTGGAGGCCTCCTGGGCGTCTTCTGGGGGCCTCTGGGGGCTTCCTCGGGCCACTCTGCCTCCAATCGCGGTCTCCCTGAACGACCGGGTCACGAATTGGAATGCTTCGAAGGGTGTCTTGGGGTCATATTGGGCCGTCATGGGAGGCTCTCTTAGGCCATCTTGGAACCCTGTTGTGCCGTCTTTGGGCTCTTTTGGACTGCCTGGAAGCCCTTTCGGATGGCTTTGTGGCGATTTTCGAGCCTCCCAGGCGGTCTCGGACGCCCAGAAGACCGAAGACCAGAACTTGGAAACGAATCTTTTTCCTGCGTTGGAAGCCTCTTGGAGGTCCTCTTCGGGTCGTCTTCGGGCGTCTGGTGGGTGTCTGGGGCCTCTTGGGACCCTCGGGAGGGGGGGGGCGTTCGGCCGCTCTCCTGACTGATTTGCGCCCGTGGCCTAGGCCCAGCGAGGGCTTCCAGGAGCCTTGAAACGCTTGGGGGACCTCCTGCATGGGCGTCCAAGGAGTCCCCGGGGCCACGGATCCGGGGGGTCCAGAGGGGCCGGGGGCCCGGGATTCGCGGGGTCCGACTTCTGGGCAGAATTCTGGGCCGGCTGCAGCAGCGCAGAGGTGCTGTGTTGTAGGACGGGCGAGAGCTTGCTTTCCTGCAGCTGCCTCTGGAGCTTGGCTGCCTGCTGCTCCGCCGTATCTTACCAGCCTCGGACTTATCCCGATCCCTAAGGTTGACACGCCAAAAGGCGATGACAATCTTAGGGATGCGCCCTCAAAAAGTAAGGGGATCCCTAAGATTGGCATCGTGATGAGGAGATGCCCAGCATAGGGTTAGGGATAGGTTCCAGGCTGGTAAATATCCTCATCTCCCGGATGTGTCGCGAGACGCGCAGCCTCTGCTAGTGCTTCAGTCTCCCCTTGAGTTCCTGCTCCTTGGACTGCGCGGCGCCACTGCCACTGTCAATCGACTGCGGACCTGGCGTCTTGGCCCATGGAGGCGTCGGCGAAGTTGACTGGAGAGGACACTTGAGAATGAGTTTGAGTGAGGAGTCACAAAGAATGTCTCATGCCCAATTACCTTTCGGCCCTTTCCGCTTGTCACCCCCTCCCGCAACAATCTTCTCGTGTGCCGCGTTGGCTGCCTTTTGCACTGCCTGTGGCGCTGGAGTGCCGCACGCACATTTGATCCTCGATGCCCAGTTCCTTGATCGATGACATGGCGTGTATGCCCAAAGCGTCCTCTTCGCGGCCAAGAGAACATCCTTAGAACTCATGAACACAATGTAAGAGTATGCTCTGCTCGACCAGGAGCTCAAAAACAAACGAAGTACCCTGTGGCCCGCTGGGGCCGTGGGTTCGCAGGCGGGGGCGCACCTCCCCCCAGCCAAGCAAGCCAAGTCTGAGCCGAAGCACTACGCACTTGAACCAAAATGGCTAAGGACTCCTCCTCCTCCTCCTCCTTCCCCGCTTCCTCCTCCTCCTCCTCCTATTCCTCCTCCTCCTCCTCGCCTTGCCCCTGAATGATACTCGTATTGGATAATTGAAGTGTGGGGAAGTGTGGGCTCGGTACACTGAGTCTGTCGGCTGCGTGGCCATGCAAGGCTGCAACCGTACAATAAACAGCGCCCTGCCTCCGCACTCGTCCCTTGATTCCCGTCTTCTGTTCAATCTCCTCACATTCTCCCTTCTGTTCCGCATCCTCGTCGCAAACGCCAAGGTGTTGTATCGAGAAGTGTCTTTCGTTGAACCGTCACTTCTGAAGACTAACTGCCGTTGATGCCCGCTTCTACGGCGAGAATGACCTTGTTCCTAAAACTAGCCCCTGGTCATCTGAACGTTTCTAATGCGTACACCTCACTTATTCCCCCCCTTCCGTCCCTCCCTCCTCGTTTCTCTCTCCTCCCCCAACCGTTCGGGTCAGGGCCCGCCCGGGCCGACACGACCGCCCAGGCAAAGTTCAGCCCGACTGGACCCCGCAACCCGAGTTAGGGCCCGCCCCACTCGTCCCGACCCGACCTGGCCGCCCGAAGTGCCTGACGGGACCGCCAAGGCCAGGTTCCGCCCGACTCGACCCCGACAACCCGAACTCGGGTCCGCCCGACCAGCCCCGACCCGACCCAGCCGCCCTGAATGCCCGCCCGACCCGACCGCGAACCCCAACAGGTCGACCCCATCCAGCAGGCGTGAGAGCTCCAGGAGACCTGGAGCATCTCGAGCCAACAAGAAGGCATCACTCGGAAAGCCATCGTGTCAAGCCTCCGCCCGCAGAGCCAGTCTCGCTTTGCCTCCGCTGGCCTCCGGCTCCCGCCAGAGAAGTCAGCCTCCCGGCACTTCGGAAGCGAGGGTGCCCTTGGGGCGCCCCGCTTGAACGCACTGGGTGCGGAGACCCTGCCCAATTCGGTGGCCCCACTTGTCACTGCCCTGAGACCTGGACGGTTTGGCGCTGCATGTTTGTTTCACACCGGGCGCTTTCGCCCGGCTTCGGGGCCTGGAACCATCACACAGATCGATCGGGCTCGACCACTCCCTGAGATCCGACGCTGCGAAACAAATCGCAACATCGGAAAAAATTCACGACCAGAGCTCTGGACCCCATCTTCCTGCGTCATTTTTCGAGCCGGCTCAATATGTGAGGGTCCTGGGACCCGAGAACGAGGAGGAGGAGGAGGAGGAGGAGGAGGAGGAGGAGGAGGAGGAGGAGGAGGAGAAGAAGGGGGAGGGGGAGGAGGAGGGAGGGGAGGGGGAGGGAGGAGGGAGGATGGGGAGGGAGGAGGGAGAAGGAGGGAGGAGCGAAAACGCCCGTCGTGAAAAAATTGCAGCGACAGGATCTCAGGGTGCTTCCAGGAAGAGAACCGAAACGCGCAGCGGGCTCCACGACGCGAGGCTGGAGCGGACACAAACAGTGAACGTCACGCGCGACGCCGCCACGAGCGCCTTTCGCTGTCGTCCTCGCCACGAGGCGAGGACGACAGCGAACGGCAAGCAGGAGGCAGCGGAGAGCGGGCTCGGATTGGAGGCCAGGAGATTGACACCAACACCAAGATCGGCGGTGTGCCCCCACCGAGGGAAGAAGATCCCGATCTCGGTCATGATGGTGGTAGTTAGCTGGCTTCCAAGGGGACCGAAGTATTGCCAATCTAGGATCATCTTCGCCCTGTGGAGGCAACCCTCTGTGCTGGTGTCGGTGCCCATGTCCAAGCCCCCAGTTCAAGGATATGGCGCAGAAAGATTGGGTCCAGGGCGCTGGTCGTGCTCTCTCGCGGTGCAACGTTGGATGCTCGTTCTGGGGACCTTCCTGGAGCCACTCGCTCCACTCGTGCGTCGAAGCTGCGTCGAACGTCAGTCGATTTGGGTCGACCCTGAGTCGAACCTGAGTCGAACCTGAGTCGAACGTGAGTCGAACTTGAGTCGAACTTGAGTCGAATTTGAGTCGAACTGGAGTCGAACAGATCCGTTAGCTGGGCTCCAGGAAGGTCCCCGAAACGAGCATCGAATGCAACGAGCGCCTGGAGCCGCGGCCCGCAACTCTACGCCAGGGCGGCTGACCCTCCCTGGTGCTCTGCGTACGCTGCGGGGCGCCGACTGCGCCCAGCAGGGCCCCGGCAGAGGTCGGCCGCCCGTGGATCGCAGCTGCAGCAGCGGCAGCCGCAGGTCAACGGGCCCTCGCTGCATGACCTCCGCCGACGACGCCACGGCGCGCGATCCGAGAAGGAGCGAGGGCCTCCCATGGGCACCTTCTCCTTCGACGTCCAGGAGGCCATGATCCCGTGCGGGATCACCTGCGGGAGGCGCCGGGAGCGCGGGGCAGCATCCCTGCGCCCGCCGCTGCCGCATCCCTCGCCGCGAAGCCGCTGAGTCTTCGGTTTCGGGGCCCGCGGGGGAGCGCGGTCGAAGAAGACTTATGCGACATACACATATCAATCGTCGGAACTCCGTGGGGATGTCTTGGATCGGCGTTCTGGTCACCCCCGGCAGAACCTCCGACGCAGCCCCTGGCGCGCTCCGCGCTCCAGGAAAGCGGCTCCCAGCGCGGATCCAAGAAGTCCACGCAGGCTTCCAACAGTTAATGTGTATGCAGGTTTTGCAGCTCCACAGAAGGAATTTGGCGGATAGATCTCTTACGCGATGACTGCAGACTATCCTCAGGTCAAAAGATCACGCTCCGAAGCCGCCAACGTCTCAGACAAAAGAATTGGGCCCTGGAGTCGAGCAGTCGGGAAGCATGCTCTGGAGTCTGAACGGCTGGGAAACTGTTCCCACATGGTTGCTGGGTGAACAGATGCTGTCGAGGAAGTCTGAGAGCATGAATGTTTACGTGGGGGTTCAAGCAAAACTCTTCTGATATACCTGGGTGGCTCTAGCTTTCAGCGGTGTCCATGGCCGACTCTGAAGCCCCTTGACGTCCCAACGTTGACCTTTATTGGCCGGGGACGTTGTACTTCCGCTACCTTCCGCTAACATGCCGCTGGCCTCCGCCAGGGGCGGGGTGACAACTTCTCGAGCCCTCGAAAGCAACGCCATTCTTGGAACCCTCATCTGTTCCCGAACGGCCTGCGAGTGGCCCACTCCACTCCTGGCAACAACGCCTGGTGCCCTCCAGACAGCGACTGGCGAAGAGGAATAGAAATAGGATAACGAGGAAGAGCAGCATCAGCAGAAGCATAGGAGAAGAGCAGGATCGACAAGAGAACGCCCACTCAAATCGTAGTGCTTCTCATCTTGCCCCGTCTGCTCGTCCTCGTCAGGTTCGGATGCTCCTGCTCATGCTCATACCTTTCTCCCTCGTACTCTTCCTCCTCGGTCGTCGGTCTCGTTATCCTCGTCCTCCTCCTCGTGTGCTTTCTCCCCCGCTCACTCTCCCGTGTATTAACCTGCTTCTAGTGCTCGCTGCTTACCTCTCGCTGCTCCTTCCTCTCGATACCTGCTTGTCGTTCCGTATGTGTCTCATCCACCTCAGCCTTCTTAATCATTCGTCCCTCCCCCTCTTCCACACTCATCTGTCCCCTCCTCCCTTGTCCCTGATCCCTCAACCCTCATCCTTCCTCTCGCACCTTCTTCATTCCCCTCTCCGCCCTCTCTCCTCTTCTCTCCTTTCTCATCCTCTCTTCTCTCCTCCCCCTCAGCCGTCCTCCCTCTTCTCTCCTCGCACCTGCGTTCCCCTATCAACATCCTCCTCCTCATCCTCCTCCTCCTCCTGCTCCTCCTCCTCCCTCCTCGGTCCTCCTTCACATCTCATCACCTTCCTCCTCCTCCTCCTCCTCCTCCTCATCCTTATTCACACCTACTCCCTGCTCTGCCTCTGTTCTCGCTCCTCCCGCAGCTCTCTCCTGTCCCTCCTCCTCCTCCTCATCTCCCCCCTCCCCCCCTCCACTTTCGGGGAGACGCAATAAGACTCGCGTACGGGGGACTCGGGTTGGCCTGACGGGGGCCATCATGAAAATGACGAGACCCAATCTGAAACTTGACGCGGGCCCCCGCCGCAAACATCCCACGACCACGGGACCGTCAAAGTCCAGCTCCGGCTTGCTCAAGTCTCACGTTTCCCCGACACTTGAGCTCCAAGGACGCCCCGGGGCCGGGACCTGAGGGGCGTGATTGAAACAGTGGCCCGCCCCGTGGTGCCGCTGGCCTCCCACCGCTCGCGCAGCCAAGCCGTGGGGGGCGGGGAGGGGCTTCGGCCAGGGCTTCTGGAGTGCTCCGAGGCCCAAAGGGGGCGCCCGAGGAATCCAGGAGGCCTAACCACATCTAGAGGCACAGACGTCAGGTTCGTGTCGTACCGACTTCGGCATTGGTTTCTCACACCGCGGAGGTCGCTCAACCTTGAAGGATCGGACGTTTCCGAAACGTCCAAATCGTTCCACATCGAACGATTCTGGGTCGCCCGCGGCGTTCAACCTTGAACGCCGGCGGCGGGGTCGCCGCCGGTCGACACGACACGAACCTGCCGTACAATCCCAAGACCCCCGGCGTCGCGATCTGTCCCCCACGTCGGCCCCCAGAGGTCTGGACCCCTTCCACAGGGGCCGCTCTTCCATCCCGAGTCGTCTTCGGACGGCCGCGAGGCCCGGCATGGGACCCCAGAGGCCGAACAGAGCGAAGAACCTCCCGTCGCTTTCCATCCCGAGTAGTTTTTTGACGGTCACAAGGTCTGGCAGGGGACCCCAGAGGCCGAAGAGAGCGAAAAACCTCCCGTCACAATTTGCTCCACAACGCGAGGGACTCCTGGGTCCTCCACCGCCTGCAAGTGGACGGTTTCCCCCGGGGCCGTAGGCGACCCGAAGAAGAGGAGGAGGCGGAGGAGAAGGAGGTAGGGTAGCGAGGACGGAGGGGCGTGGGCAGGGGGAGGAGCGGAGAGGAGGAGGACGAGGAGGAACGCGGAGAAGGAGGAGGAGGTGGAGGAGGAGGAGGAGGAGGCGGAGAAGGAGGAGGAGGAGGAACGAGGAGAGGAGGAAGAAGGGAGAGGAGGAGGAGGGGCGGAGGAGGTAGAGGGGAGGGAGAGAGGACGGAGGAGGAGGAGGATGAGGAGAAGGAGGAGGAGAAGGAGGAGAAGGAGGAGGAGGTCACGAGGAGGAGGGAGGGAGGAAGAGGAAAAGGAGGAGGAGCGAGACCGAGGAAGAGGGGAGGAGGAGGAGAAGGGGGGATAGGGGAGGAGGAGGAGGAGGCGGAGGAGGCGGAGGGGAGGAGGAGGAGGAGAGGAAGAGGCGGAAGGAGGAGGCGGAGGAGGAGAGAGGAGAAGGAGGAGGAGAAGGAGGAGGAGAAAGAGGAGAGAAGGAGAGGAGGAGAAGGAGGAGGAGGAGAAGGAGGAGGAGAGGAGGGGGAGAGGAGGAGACGAGAGGGGAAGGAGGAGGAGGAGGAGAGGAGGAGAAGAGAATGAATGAATGGAGGAGCGAATGGAATGGAATGGAATGGAATGGAATGTAATGGAATGGAATGGAATGGAATGGAATGAAATGGGCTCCTTCACGATGTGAATCCTCAACGCCCGAGCTACACTTCGGGTGTTCGGTTGGCCGCCTTATCCTTCGGTGCCCCCCTGCCTCGGAATTATCGAGGCACGTGCGGCTGGTATCCGAGAGGTGTCCTTCGCATCTGGAGGGAGGAGGAGGAGGAGGAGGAGGAGGAGGAGGAGGAGGAGGAGGATCAGGAGGAGGAGGAGAGGAGGCGGAGGAGGGGGAGGGATGAGGAGAAGGAGGAGGAGGAGGCGGAGGAGAAGAGGAGGGAGGGAGGAGGGAGGTGGAGGGAGGGAGATGGGGAGAGGGATGGGAGGGAGGAGGAGGAGGGAGGAGGGAGGAGGGAGGAGGAGGAGTGCGGAGAGGAGGAGGGGAGAGGAGGAGAAGAGAAGGAGGAGGAGGAGGAGGAGGAGGAGGAGGAGAAGGAGGAGAAGGCGGAGGAGGAGGAGGAGGGAGGAGGGAGTGAGGAGAGAGGACGGGACGAGGAGATAGAGAAGGGGCGGAGGAGGGACGAGAGGAGGAGGAGGAGGAGGGGGAGGGGGAGGAGGAGGATGGAGGAGGAGGAGGAGGAGGAGGAGGAGGAGGAGGAGGGAGGACGAATAGGAGGGGTACGAGGAGGAGAGGGAGGAGACGAAAGAGGAGGAGGAGGAGGAGAAGGAGGGGAGGAGGGGAGGAGGAGGATGGAGAAGTAGGAGGAAGGAGGAGGAGGAGGAGGAGGGAGGGAGAGGAGGAGGAGGAGGAGGAGGAGGAGGAGGAGGGAGAGGAGGAGGAGGAGGAGGAGGAGGAGGATGAGGAGTGGGAGGATGAGGATGAGGATGGGGATGCGGAGGAGGGGGAGGGGGAGGGGGAGGGGGCAAGCTGGTGCGCTGCGCTCGCGTCATATCTGACATCCTACCCCTCCCTCCCATCCCTTACCATGGCGTAGATCCCCTCTCTACTCGCACAGTCGGATGTCGAGCAGGGCAATGATCCCGAAAGGGTACGCGATGCATTGTAGAGCACGGCATGGCATGGCGTAGAAGAGCACCGCAAAGCGTAGTATCAACCTAGCATTGCATTGCATGCCGTGGCATGGCACGGGAAATGACGCCAGCGCTGCAGCGGGAGCACGAGTCGGAACGAGCGGAAGCGCGGAAATGAGGCCAGCGCTGCAGCGGGAGCACGATTCGGAACGAGCGGAAGCACGGAAATGAGGCCAGCGCTGCAGCGGGAGCACGATTCGGAACGAGCGGGGCCCGAAAATGAGGCCGGCGCCTCAGCGAGAGCAGCATTTTGGAAAACAATGCAGGCGAAAACCCAACTCCGGGGAATCCTGTGTGTACAGGAACAGTACCCGGGGGGGGGGGGGGCGAATGCTTTCAAACCGTCGTCAGGGGAAGAGGGAGAATAGTATTCATATTGAGTATAGAAGGAGAAGGCGGAGGAAGAGGAGGAGGAGGAGGAGAAGGAGGAGGAGAAGGAGGAGGAGAAGGAGGAGGAGGAGAGCGAGAGGCGGAGAAGGAGGAGGAGGAGGAATAGGAGGAGGAGAAGGAGGAGGAGGAGGAGGATGAGGCCGAGGAGGAGGGGGAGCAGGAGGAGGAGAAGGAGAAGAGGAGGAGGAGGAGAAGGGGGGAGGAGGAGGAGGAGGAGAGGAGGAGGAGGAGGAGGAGGAGGAGGGGAGGAGGAGGAGGAGGAGGAGGAGGAGGGGGGGGGGGGTGGAGAGGGAGGAGGAGGGGCTGGGAGGAGGAGGAGGAGGAGGAGGAGGAGGAGGAGGAGGAGAAGGCGGAGGAGGAGGAGGAGGAGGAATAGGAGGAGGAGGAGGAGAAGGAGCTGCCTCGT